GGGTGGGCTCTGCTGTGAAGGCCACAGCATGAGCTGCACACAGTGGGGTTGGTTTTTAAAATGCCCTGATCCTCAGATTACAACTGTGCTGAAATCCCATCCAGCTTAAAAGGTTCATTTCACTCATCATTTTGCAGAATGAGAGTTTGTTTGAATTGTGAATATACTTAATGCTATTCTCATCATAATTTTTCATGAAAAAACAAATGGTTTTATACTACCCCAGTATGACCTTGAACTTGCCAAACTTCAGTAAAGGTAGCAACAATTGCTATCTAAAATTAAAAAGCTGGGAAGTCTTTTTGGTTTTAGTTTTTGTCTGTTTGTCATTGTGTCTATTTGAAATGAAGTTAAAAAGAGATCCTTATCAAACCATCTCAGTGACTGCTGATAAAAGGGATAGGAGTTTGTTGTCCTTCTAGGAAAGCATACCTATTTTATACTGTTCTCATTTGAAGTTAAGGCTGTGGAGAAAGATTGATTCAAATTTTAATTTCTATATCACAAAAATAAAGGAATCTTGCAGACATGTAAAAGTATGTTTTCTTGCAGGTGGTAGTAACTACTTTTGCTTTGGCACTTGATTATTTTTGTTATAATTGTTGATCTTAGTGATTTTGTTCATTCTTTGAATCTAAATGTCTTTTGTCAGATCTAAGCCTTTCCTTAGCTGTACAGGTGTAAATAGGTGTTACTGAGTGCAAGCGGGTACTTGTTTAATTCAGCTATTTCCTAACATTAATCCTAACATTGATGTCAGGTCCATTCTACATCTTAGTGTAAAAAAAGATAGATGAGGGAAACGCTTCTAATGTAAGAAACGCATGTGACAAAATATCCAGGTTTGCCAAGGGCAAATTAAGGCTGACGGATATGCTCTTGGTGGTGTTTTCTTAATTACAGTTGTCAACTAACTTTCTTGGCTAACAGCACAGAATTTGTGTGCTTTTAAGTAGACTTGGTTTTCATTCAACTTAAAAAGCTAAAATGCCTTTTTGTTCATGAAAGGTGTGTCTGTACCTCATTGTTTCATAGATACGCTATAAATGGTGAAAATTAGATGATGGCATCTGTAAAATATGTAGAGACCCTTGAAAATACTCAATATCCTTTAAACCAGAATTCCATCATCATCATGGCAGTTCGGGGGGGGAAGGTTGTTTTTCTTCTCATTCACTCAAATTCAAAACAAAAGAATTCCAGGTTTCTTTTTTTGATACCAAGATGAGACTGTTACTGCTATAAACAAGTTTTCTAATATGTCATTAGTTTACCTATTAGTAAGGATCTATTAATGTCAAAGAATAAAACTATAGAAAATTGCATCATGCAGATCTTTTACTTAATAGATTAAATAGTTCCTAATAATTATATCTGTTATCCATATTCCTCAGAGAGACACTTAGATCCTGATGTGTTTGTAGTTGTGTAAGGAATGCCAACACCAAGATTTAATTCATAGAAAGGAAGAGGCACTTTTGTCTTTCGGTGTACAGACTGGCTAAGAAAACTGTTAATGCCTTTGCAGTGCATCTTCTGCAAAGAGGAGTTAACCTTCTCCTAATTATTGTAGACAATGCCTTAAGAGACCTGATTCCTCAGAGGGCTGCACATTTGATATTAATAGAGCTTTCTGTGTTGGTGTTTAAAGAGATCTCACTGTTAGGAAGTAAATAAATGGAGAGAATAATCACCAAGAGCTAAATTAGTATTCAAGGAGTATAATGAGTGCTACAATAAAAGTAGCTGATGTTTTCAAATGAAAATTGGGATTCTGAGTCTTCACAGATGATTTTATTTGGTGACAGTACCAATAAAATGTAACTGGATTCAATTCTTAGAAAATATTCAAATAATTATTGCTGGAAACTTATTCTACAGTTTAAATTATTGCACTATTATGAGATTGTATTCTAATACTTTAGACAAATGGCAATGTAAAAAATAATACTACTGTCCCAAGTGTCAGGGTGTTTTTTCCAAAAAATTCCTATCCTAGCAGTTCACATTCATGCTGACATCTGTATGCCATTTTCATTTGACTAGGTTATTAAATATTTTGATTTTGAAGCCCATGTGAGAAGAGCAACATTAAAAGACTCCACATTTATTACTCTGATGTATTTACTGCTTTGAAAAGTAGAAATGTCTTTGTTCATCTCTCAATCTGTCCCTTTCCATCCTGCCTTTTTTCCTCTCTTATTGTAGCAGCTGCCCCTTGTCCAGTCAGTCGTGGCAGGGGCCAACTAACTGACCCACCTGGTTCTACCTCTCACCACGTCCTGGGATGATATGACTGTCCTCTCCCACTTCTGCCATTGAGCAAAGGCTTCCTTTCCTCCACTATTTCTTTCACCCATGCACCAGTAGCACAAGCACCTCTGTATTGTTGTTACTGTCTTTTCACTTCTGAAAGAGGTCAGTCAACATGTCAGCATCTGAAACGTCCTCTGGAGGTGACTGGCTGGATGTAAGAGGACAGATGTTGATGGCTGCCACAGCCATTTGTGTGAGCTCCAGGCAGTTGCATTTGTGACTGCTGGCTGGTGAAAAGAGAGTCCATATGTCCACAACAGATTTTCCTTCCATTGCTTAATTTTTATCAAGATACAGTAATTCTCATTGAGAATATGTTCTTCCCCAGTAACCGGGTAGCTGAAGAGTTTCAGAGTTATTGTGCTGAATGCAACACAAAGAAGAGAAGCACAAACTTACCAAATGTAGAGCCTCACAAACTTGGCCAAGTAGTGTCTCATCTGTAGCTCCCAGTGCTTTCTCCTTACCTTGCATCAATTATCCATGCCTCTGCTGTTCCAGCTCGCAGAGTTCAGCTTATCTCCCTTTGTCATCCCCCTGGATGCTGGGAAAAGGCTACTCCCCAGTACACTGCTGTGGTAGCAGGTGCCATCCCAGATGTGATGTTCTTGGGGTCACCAGGAGAATGAAATGAGTGGAGCTGCTCTTAACCAACTAAGGGTGTATGGCTGGCTTCAGTACAGACAGCAAGTACAAAGAGCATGTACAGTGAAAAACATTACAAGGTGGCTTTCCTTTTTTTCTTTCAGATACTGTTTTTTGCAGACCTACAGCCTGATTCATTCCCTCCTGTAAGGCTGGTCACTCACTATCTGGGTCTCCCAGAGCCAAAGGAACTGCTGTAGTTTAGTTCCACATTGAAATGGGTCAACATTTCAAAGCTGAGATCTAAATAACTTAATTTGCTAAATAACCATTCTTTAAAATGCTCTGCAGCAGTAAACGGTGTTAGATGTAACTGTGATGTTACATCGCACTGCTCAGGACTCAGCCTTACTGGATATAGTGATTGTTGCTTGTTCTCAGACTCTGTTATTGATCTGACTTTTGTCTCAAATGAGGCTAATTAAGTAGAGGACTTTGTACATTGTTTGAGTTAGAGGGTATCTACCTATGTAGCTTTATATATGTGTGTGTATATGGGTGTAAATATATGTACAAGCAGTGCACGAAAATGTATTCATCCACAGTGACAGGTGGTACTGGCAACACCTGTTGCTGGGGTCACTCAACACTCCAGTATTAAACCCCTAATTTTAGTTGCTTATAACTTTTGTCAAAGTTAAACATTTGTGTTGAAATGTTATGTGCCAGGTGTCTGCCTTAGGCTGATTTGGGGGAGGGGGTGTGGGGAGAGGAATTTTTTAGCAAAACTGTTACTGCCAGTTCAAAGAGCAGAGGCCAGGGCACAGTGGTTTGCCTGTGCTGAAAAATGAGCTATTGCTGGTTGAGATGTTCCAGCAGCTTCCCTTGTCCAAAGCAGAAAGTTGACGGTGGAGACCCCCTGCAGCTGGGCATGCCATTTGCCAGCAATATGGAAATTTGCTGTTTTACTAAGAATGCACCTCTGTGTGGCTAAATTATGGGCCTGTGAAAACACTCGGTAAATCTTTGCTGACAGCTGCCCACCAGGCTGCCTCCATCATGTCCGTTTCCAAATAGCGGTGCTGTGCTGGTGGCCCTTTGGATGCAAGGTGCCCGTGAAGCCGCAGAGTAGCCTTGGAGTCTGAGCGTGGAGCATGCCAGCCTGATGCACGTAGAGGCACCAGTCCACAGAGCAAATCCAAACAGCTCAGCTTGTGCTTACACAGTGTGAATAAATAGGAGAGAATGGTTGGCTGGAATCCAGAGGAACTGGTGATGTAGGAAGAGAGTGATGGGCTGAGAGTGGTAAGAGTGAAGGACAACAGGGTTTTGAGAACTGTATAAGGAGAAATGCTGAGGAGGCAGATCAGTGTGACAGGGCAGATTGACAGAGAAAGGATGAAGCACAACTCCTGCTGGTCCATGACCACAGGGTTTCTGTGATCCCTGCCTAACCAACTGGAATGTTCCATTGATGATACATCCAGCTCTTCAAATGGTGGATTTACACAGGAATACAACCTATACTGCTGCAAGTGTCTCCCCTGTTTGAGTTTATAAACTTGACCTACTAGGAAACCCTTAGGAGTTTGCATGATTTTCATCTGATGTTCTTTCAGAAGGCAGAGTTGTTCAGATTACTTCTCCTTAATAGAAACATCAACATTTTCTTACTTTTTTCTTTTTTTTTTAGTATTTCTTAGCTTTCACCTGCACAACCTGCACTTCAAGGATTATTATGTGTGCACGGAAACCCCCAAATACTACAGTTGTTTCTTACTGTATAGTCTTGGTTTGAAATCTGTGCAACATTTGTAGCTCACAGTATGCAAAGTTACACTAGTAAGGCAGTTGTAGACACTGAAGTGGGCTGTGGTTTCATCTAGGTTGAGAGAACATTTGAACAGACTGCTCATATTGCTTTTGAATCTTGTCCTTTCACGAGTATTATGGGAATTAGAAACAAACTGCCTGTTGCAAAATATTCTGTTTCATATTACTTAGCATTTTCCCATAAAAATCTGAAGAAATGCCACAGGACCTGATCAAAGTTTAAAGTCAGTTTGTTATTGAATGATGATGATTTTTTTTTATTATAGGCAAAGCCTCAGCCAAGAAACTGACAAAAAAGGTAAGCAAAATGTTCCTTTCCTTCTTCAAAAGAACTTGCATTCTTTCTGTTACTGAAATGATTAAGTCTCTTTCAAAACTGGCTTTATATTTTCTTGTTTGTGTCTTTGAAGGAGGTAGATGCTGCACTGCTGTATGTTGCCAAAGCTAAACCAGGGCCGACCTTTTTTAGAGACCTTGGTGATAAAGGTAATGAGCACTTTTGATACTGAAAAATACATGTTGCTTTTTATCTCATTATATGGTAAGAGTTGAATGTATTTCATGGATTTGATTTCATCCGCATCTAGCCAGTAGCTGCCTCCTTGGCAAATCTCTCAGTTATGCAAGAGAGTAAAGAGGCAGGGCTGGGAATTGAAAGCCTTCTGAGGTGCAGGAGACATGAAAGAAACTGAAAAGCCTACTTGGAGAAGAGAAAGGGGCTGAAAAGGATAACTTCAGCACAAAATGGACTTCTAAGACTTGTTAATAAGCTGCTGTTTCACTGTATAACTCAAATGCGTGGCAACTAAGAATAAAAATAAAATTTGTATCTAATTATGTAAAGCAGCATCCCTGATTCCAAGAGCAGTCTTGGGACTGCTATTTCTTCCTCTTCAGGAGCTCTGTGACCTTTTGCAGCGCTGATGTGCTTTGATTTTTTTTTCACCCGACATTTCCACCTTATATTGGAAAACTGAGAGCTGGGATATTGTTTGTGTAAGAACAAGGAATTAAAGAACAGCAAATAAACATGTCATTAGCATAAATTAATTGAAGGGAGAAAACAAACAAGAGGATCAAGGAAACCAAATAGATGAGTAATTAACCATTTCACCAGTAACAAAGACCAAAATCCCCAAACTAATGAGAAACACTGACAGTGCCTATTCACAAACTTTCTGTATCATACAGTTCAGCCTGAATCCCTTATCTCATGGACATTTCTGGAAGCTGCCGTTGCACTGCTGCAGTTCCTTGGCAGGCATGAGCCACACTCTCTCCATGCACAGCAGATCCCCAGACAGGGCTGGCAACTTGTGCCAAGAGAGCAGCCCTCAATCTCGGTCTGCAGCATTTCACCTACCCTGCGGCCTCGTGGCCCCTTCTGCCTGCACTTCATTCCTTGCGTCCTTGTGCAGATGTGGAGGGGGCTGCAGCTGGATGCCTTGCTTGTCAGTCCTCTCCTGAAAGCCCCAGCATACCCTAGCAACCCTGAACCATCTCCAAACAAGCTGAACATTTTTTTCCTGTCCTAGGGAAGGCTGGATTTTGCATTGAATTGATTCCCTGCCTTTTCAAATTACTAATCATCACATGCTTTCCCAGAATTAGGTTTAAAGTATACCCAGTCTTTAATTCTTGGATATTTTCTCTATATACCTTCTTTTTTAGAGCCTTTCTGTTTCTCGTGATGGACACTGCAAATCCCCAGAGCACACCGCCTGTGAAAACTGGGAATCCACCAAGAGAAATTGCAAACATAGCAAAACAGCACAGCCTCCTTTTGTTGCACCTCTCTCAGCTGAGTGCTTGGCACAAAGTGGGCTCAGTGATATGCTCAGCCTGGCGTCTTTTGCATTCTGGCCAAGATCTCCCCGTGCTTAGCACTGTGTGTCCGTATATTCTGTCCTTCAGAGGTCACGTAGGAGTTTGAGATGATGCAGGAACATTCAGTGCAGTCATCCATATGTCCCCACAACACATAGAGTTTTTACAGGTTTTGCTCATGGTGTCTGTTTAGTGACTTTGATGCTTTTGCTTTGAGATGCATTATTATCACAGTTTAAAAATGAAAACATTTGTGCTTTTACAAACACCAGAATAATGAATCTACCCTGTCCCACTGTTTAGCTGAGGTCATTTTAACTACCTTCAAATTGTTATTTAAATGTCAAGGAGAGGGAAAACTGTATTCAGTCTAGTTTGTAAAACATAATGCTAGGGAATTCTGCCTTCTAGTGGGCAATTTTAAAATTCGTGTCATATTTTGTGGGGTTTGTGATTTATTCAGCACTAAGAATATTGTACTGTCAGTGTTTGCTATAAAGTTTGAGGATACGGATTTCTAGGGAGGGATAGAGAGAGTTCCTTAAGCAATAGAAAATGACAGTATCCTGCCAATGCTAACTGCAATACTTGGCTGCAAGTATGCTGAGTCATTCTACAGTATGTGAGGCTATTATCTTTTAAATTTTACTTGGATAGAAATATAATTTTCAGTGGGCTGGTTTTTTGTGGTTTTTTTTTAAATTTGCCGCATTATATATTTTAATTTGAGTAACTGTGTAATGATTACTGTAGAATTAAAGAGAAAATTACCAAAACATTTCATTTACTTGATGGATGAGATAAATTGGCTATTCACTACAAGTAGTAAAAGGACAATAAAATTAAAATAAGATTTTTAATGGAAATTAGTCCACAAGTTAAAAAAATTGTATTACAAATTATTTTAGTATAATCAGTCTTCCAGAAAATATCAGACAGACTGTGGATTTGCTTTAAAGCACTGAGTCAGGTTTTAAAGAATATTTTTATATACATTTGTTATATTTACCTTTTTATCAATTTGACTATAGTGACTTTTCAAGTGTCCTCTTTCCGGACCTCTGCAATTCAAATGCTTTTCCCTTGAGCCACTGAGCAGGGTGTTGTCTTTAGATTGATCTTTTCTTCACATCCTACCATCTCTGTAAAAATTTTGCAGATTCTTTCTGCAAAATTTTATGATGTATAATGATCCATGTCTAGCTATATAGCTAAAACTCTCCAGGGGCTCAGTATTTTGTATCTCAATTATCGCAACATTTTTTTTCCTATGACTTTAGCAAACATGATCTGCCATGTTAATATTCTTTCAAATGCTTTGATAAGTATGTTTTTCTTTCACAACTCCTTTGAGTGTATGGTCTCTTATTTTGTATCCCAACGCTGGGCTCTCATTCTTGTTTTATCTAGCATAAGCTGTTTGTCTTCAGTTTCCGGGTCTTCCCTAGACTACCCCTGTGCAGCGCCCCTCAAGACAGCCGAGAGGCAGACTCCCACTTCTTCTTGGCCAGTGATGCTCTCCTTCATTGCTTGGTTGTTAAATTTTCAGTCAGGGATCTCTGTGCTGACACCATTGCAGTCCATGACTGGGAGGTGTTTTCTATACTGACCTGCTAAGTTGCCTCATTGACTTCCTTTATTGAATTCCTTTATGAATTCTTTCCTTAAACATTCTTTTGCTGTGTCACACACAAAATTAGGAATCTTGATCACTGCCCATCACACTAATGGCTTCATTTCTTATCAGTCCCTCTTTGTTTCTGTCTTTTTTTTTAATCTTGTCTTATACTTGGGCATATAAGCTAAAAATTTGGAGTAGAAGTTCTTTCTCTGTTTATTTGGTTTTGAATTTGTAGAAAACCTACATGTTTTATCTAGGAACACAACTCCAAGTTTTACAGCAATGCAAATAATAATTTGTATTCTTACGATGGCAGAAATGCTAAAACTTGTAAGCAAAATTAAGTTTTTGAGGTGAAAGTGGTTTTTATTTCCATAGTGGTTTTATGATTGTAGTACTGTGCTGATTTACACATGATGCATGTTGGATAATAGGGTGAATAGCTCTATTTTGATGGAGAGGAAAGCTGAGATATGGAACCAGATTGAGTTGGCAACAGGGTCAGCATTAGACCTCCCTTTAGCTAAGATTTGTTCTCCAATTTTCAGACTCCTGCGTTTACCAATTTAATATTTCTGAACTGGTACTTAAAAGTGTTAAGTCACTATCTGAGGTCAAATACAAATGCTGCTGTCTGTGCACAGTAATTTATCAGAAGTTAATTGCTTATCACTGAAGCTTAAGTGTATTCTTTATCTATCAATTAACTGAATATAAATTATAAAACTAGTTTATCTTTGCACAGATAGGCATGTTTGAACTTCATTATTTTAAGCAGCTTCAGCTTTTAACTCACAAGTTAAAAGTAGCTCAGTTATTTTGAAAAGTGATTTATAAAAAAGCCCTTTACATTTTTTCTCCAAACATTATTGCGGGGCAGATGGTTCAAATTCTGTTGTTTAACCACCCTCATTATGCGCTCTCTATCTTTAGCTTGTACACTCCATTTTGACGCTATCACATCTTTGTGTTTGTTCAGGCTTTTCACTTAAGGTGGTATTTGAAAAGAAAACACTGGAATTTTCCTTCAGAAGGGGGGAAAATACTTTCACCTTGTAGAAAGGACACGTTCCTATTTAAAAAAAAAAAAAAGAAGCCTCCTCTTGGCGCTCGGCCCAGCAGTACTATCAGCACAATCTAGCAGCTTGGCAGCTTTGCGTGTTGCCATGTTCCCCTTGAGAATTAGAGGGAAGCTATTCTCCGCCTTTGCGAGCCTGCCAAAGGATGGAGGACTTTGATCCTTCAGGGTAATGTTAGAGTAGTTCTCCTCCCAGGTACTAAATGTGACAAAGCACATTTAATTTATTTGCCTTTTATATAAACATTGAATGTTTTCAGTGAGAATCCAAAGATTTAGTGCAGGACTTTTATTAATACCAAATAAACCTTACTTTCTGGATTAGACATGAGCATTGATGAGTGTCTGGTTAGGGAATTTTACCTTCAGAGCACTAAAAACAGAAGTAAAAACTTTATTAAATACTAAAGTGGCTTACTTTAATAAATTTATTTAATACTATGTCAAACTACAGTTTTTATATTTATAGGATTTGATGTTTCAAGTCTTACTATGAGTTTTTGGGGGGTTTTTTGCAAATAATTTTTTAACTCTTTCATTTCAGGGTTGATATCTTATGCAGAGTACCTGTTTTTGCTGACGATCCTTACAAGTAAGTATTGTATATTTAAAATACATTGGCATAAATACTCAGCTACTAACATCTTTCCAGGAACTTTTTCCTGAAATTTTTAGCTTCTAAATTTCTGCATTATTGTAAAATGTAAAAAAACCACTATATAGAGAGTGATAATGCATTAATATAAATGGATATAACTTTAATTGGTTGGAACTTACTTCCATAGTGGCATCATCGGTCCATAGCAATACTTCAAAAATCATGGTAATTTCTGCACCATGGGATCAGAAAAGCTTTTCAAAAGACTTTGAGAGAGGGCAGACATTGGTTACAGAACCAGATTATAAGGGGAGAAAGAACAGGGAGGAAAGATAAATAATTTGTCTTCTGGATAGTAGTTTTAGTCATTTTGGAAATGAGACATTAACATTGTAGCTCATGCAGTGGAATAAAAAGCTGTTGTGGCATCTCAAAGGTTGTTCCCTATTATTCTTGTGTTCAGATATGCAATGGATGCAATATACAAACAGAAGAATTCTGCAGTGTCTTTTTGTTTGGCTTTTTTAATCCTTTTTTTTTATCCTCTGTTCCTTTTGACTTTATTTTCTCCAAGTATTTTACATGTATTTCTGCTCTCCCTCCTTTGCTTCCTTCCTTTTTGTCTAACAGACCTTTTGGTACTTGCTTTATCTATAAACAGGCATTTTTTGTTGTGCATGGAAGTGATCTCGGATTGTCTAGATTTCCTCACCCATACTTACTCTGTGCCATGCTTGCCACCCCTCCATTTTATTCTGATGAAGTGTAGGCGATGCTGAAAAATACCAAGATTTGAGATGTGTGCAATGAACATCACACAGTGAGACCCATACACTAGTAGTGAAGTAGTTCATGTGCATGTCCACGGAATAGCCCACATGTGCAGTCTTGTTTGCATGACTTATACAGGTCTAACATTTTCAGCAAGGGACAAAACCAGGCATACTAGATTTATGGTGTCAGTGGATGGGGAAAGGAGAGAAGGAAGTAGTCACTTTTGCCTGATGGGCTGTAGATGCTTGACCCTCATCACTTCCATGGCCGAGGCTTAAACAAATTGACAAATTTTCCTTGCACTGGAAATCCACCTTCTCATGGTGTAGTATGAACAAATAATTGTTGGTCTCCAGAGAGTGGAGAGAGTATGTCCAGCCTTCCTGATAATGGCCATCAGTATACACCTCTTGCACAGTTTAGGTAGCCCTTTTGCAGCTTACCTCATTTCTAGCAGAACTATATTAGCTCTTACTACATGGCATGAAGGGTGGGTAATCTCTTAGGGAACTTCAGCTAGTACACAGTAATAAATAATATATATATGCATTAAGATAACCTATGTAATAGACAAATATACTGCTTCAGCAGTGGTGATTGTCCCGTGCTACACTCTGCTTGAACCTGAGTTATACCATGTGTTCAAGTGGTTTTAAAATCAGAAATAAGAGTTTAGCCCAGTTAGAATACTGATTTTAATATATTTGTTGCAACTCAAAAATGATGCATTTATGTTAAAAAAGGAAAACTGTTGTCCATGGAAGTGATCTCGGATTTTCTAGATTTCCTCAGCCAAATTATAATTTCAGAAGAATACCTTAAAGTTGCAGTAATAGGTGCCAAAGGTTCTACTTCTTTAAAAATTTATGGCAGCTGAAAATGAGTTCATGCTGAATTATTGGCTGAAACAATTAGAAAACTGCAGCAGTACTAGAGCAAGTTGTTCCACTTCTCCAAGCAATCAAGTAACATTATTTTTCACAGAATTTCTTTAAGAATGTATTGAACTGCAGAAACAAAGGCACCTTTTGATGCAGGATAAAAATGCAGTGCTAATGTTGCTGCTTTGGTTACACAGAGGGTTATCATATCGATCACTTTGAAAGCAAATGTCAACAAGTGTTAGTGCCTCTATCTTTGCCTAACAAGTATCCCATGTCAGTCAGCCCCAAGTTACACAACCTGTCTCTCTCACTACTGAGAATTAATATGAGATTTCTTAAAGCAGGCATTAATATTTAAATTACTTCTACAAAGTCACCAACAGAACAACTGGGAAACAGAAAAAGAGTCACCAGACTCCTGGTTCCAGGACACTGCTGACCAGACCATGCTGCCTGTCATACAAAAGCAGTGTCTGTAACAACACTGAACTTAAAAATGTAATTTTGCGTTAGGCAAAGGCTTTATTTTTTTGCCCCTGTGACCTTCTTTTCTCTTTTCTGTGTGCCTTGTATCATCACTATCTTTTTTTCTTCCAGTGCTGTATTGAATTTCATTTCTAGCAATAGGTTAATGGCGCCCTGGCTGGTGAAGAAGTCCAGGAATTGAAGTTGTCACCTTTACTCAAAGCTTCGTTTCAATTAGCCAGTCACACAAATTGACATCTTGGTCAACATAGGAATAGTTGGATAGGAAGCACCTAGGTCTAACCTGCACTCACAGCCAAGATGAAGCTCTTCTGTTCAGATTTTGGATTTTTGCCTGATTCTAATTAAATACAAATATATCTGTGGTAGTCTTTGAACTATGCTTATTTTACGAACACATACCTTTGGGGTTACATCATATCAGATAAGTATGTCATCTCTGTATAAGCAGCTTTAGGTCCTGTATTTTCAGTAACAGCTCTCTTATCTGAAAATTGGAACACAGATGGTATGAATTACTATTAAATACATCAATTACTTTTGTTCTCTAAATATGTTATAGGATAGCCTTTTCTTGCTTTTGTACTAGTAACACAAATTTAGCATGTGCCATTTCCATGGAAAGGAAGCCAGTTTTGATTATTACAACCCAGTTGCTGGGGAAGGGTTCTGCTGTGCAGATTGCAATGGTATTTATAAAATATCCATGCATCACAAGATTGCTTCACATAGAATGTTAATTGACTGCTGAAGATGTAGTTATTTCTAAAATGTAAAAATAGTACTTTCTTCAATGATCTTGTTATGACTTTAAAGGAATGGGATATTCCTTCAGCTTCTTCCCTTGACAGAAATATTCTTTTAAAAAAGAAAATGCAAAACTTAAAACTTTTCAGAATGGAACTAGAAGAACATGTTTCCAAAAGGAAAACTCTGAAGGCATTAGAGTTTTTTAGGTACTGCTTCACTGCCCTCATAGGTCCAACATTGTTCTTGGAAACATGAATATATTCCAGAGACGGTAAGTCCATGGCTTTCATATTAATGCCTGACTTAAATGGATTGTGGAATTAATTCATGCGCTCCAGAAATTACTGGGAAAAGGGCTTGCTACTGCAATGAACTGTAACTACATTTTCAGCAGCATGCTGCTCCTGTGTGGGCTCGCTAATGAGCGAGGCCACCTCCTCTAAGCAAAGTAAGACCAGGAAATCACGGGAACGAGCTCAAAACACACTGTGTTTTTATAGCAAGATTCAGAGCTCATTACATTTTTGTGTTGAAAAGAAACATCCACTCAGTGAAGGAAATGCAGGGTAAAATTGTGTAAAATTCCTGAGAAAAATCAGCTTGATGGGAGTCATACAAAACATGCTTTTGTCAAAAAAGACCGGAAAGAGTAGTTTATTACATCTTAGTAATATTCGAGTACATTGTTTAGGGAAGAAGGAGAAGGGAAGTTAAAAAAGGCCTAGGGCTAACACAGCAGGAGCAGGAGCTGAGAGCTGACCACTGTTACAGCATCGGTCTGTCTGTTGGGGAGGACTTCTAATACTGACATACAGTCACCTGTGCAGGAAGTACCTGAGGAGTACACTAGCTCTTTTACCCAGTTTGGAAATAATTATTGGTTTCTAAAGGCAATTTCCACTCATCTAACCTGAAAAGGAGCTCTAATAAACAAGACAGAGCTAGACTGCAGAAGTGACATGGGATCATGGAGGCATCCATAGAGAGTATCTTAAGACTAGGACAGCGAGAGATACGATATTGTTGTGGAGATCGGATGGACATTCATGGCTGTACTTGGGCACTGCTGGCATTTCTTACTTTCCCATTACATTAATTATCCTTGAAATTATAGTAAAAAGGTGTTTAAAAAGTTTGCTTATATTGGAAGAGGTATATGTGATTCACTGGAAGTACCATGTGTGTATGTAACAATGGAGAACTGAACCATAGGCAATATTCATTTTGCAGTCATTATTAATTATTTAAGTGCTAGTGTAAGCATCTGTGGGTATATTTTCAATAAAGTTATTTTGCAATTTGTTGCAGAACCCCAGACTGGACTTCAGATTGCCTTTAAAATGTTAGATACAGATGGCAATGAGCGAGTTGAAAAAAAAGAATTCTTTAAGGTAGGTGTATTTATATGCATATTCATTTTAAAGCATTTAAATAGATCCATGGGTTATATTTGGTAAATGAAGATTCATTAAAATCATCAAGCCTATTTTTCAGTCCAATCTATGTTCACATACTTATTAAAATATTTTATATGAAAGAAGCACATACCAAAGTATTGCTGTAGAAGTACTTGAATTTGAATCCACTTTTATAAATGTTGCCTTTGAGTTGTATCTAAAAATCTGCTACTAGGAAGGTTGGTGTACATCCCTTAATCCCATAAGCTAATTTAAATAATAATCTGGAAGAATGTTTTATTTTCTAAATATGTTGAATAATTTCTTTAATACACCATCCTCCCTTGGTTTTTATTAATTTTGTTTGGTGCTGCAGAAGGGCATCGTTTTTCCCATGTTTTATATAAACTATGAGGGAGAAAGGCAGATGTTTAAAAAACAAAGAAAACTTTACTCTGTTCTTTTAAAGAAGAATAGGCTTAATTACATAACTTATTCAACTTTTAAATATTTAACAGAAGACTGTTAACTAAATACTTCTTGTCAAAAGTTGAATGCAGAATTAACAAACATAATTTTTAATAGACTCCCTCAGCTTAATTCAGATCCTTCATTAATATTGGAGGTAACTGGACAGACGGTTTTATAAGAAGCTGACGTGGCTACTACAATTCAAATTATTTTCTATCAGTAGGATAAAGTTCAAGGTAACCATTAATGCACAGCTCTAGAGAACCATAGAATCTAAAACTTAAAAAGATGCACCTGTTGATAGAGAAATTGGCAAAAACTTATGTAAGTGTACTTTCATAGCCTTAAACTCTGAATTAATGATACAATAGCTGCTGGCATGTGTTTTGCGCTGATCACCATTTCTTCAGTGAATTGCCTCTTAGCAAGGTTGATTGATGAGTCATACTTTAAAGATATTATAAAATATTGTAAAAATACTTTTAGACTTAGTAGTACTGTTAGAAAATAATGCTTGAAATTAGATCATTTTCCAAGGCAGCGTTCCCAGAAACCCCTAACTGAGCCTGCAGATACCGTTGTCATGGTTTGACCCCAGCCAGCAACCAAGGGCCATAGAGCCTCTCCTTCACTCCCCTACCAGCAGGATTGGGGAGAGAATTGGAAAGGCAAAAGTCAGAAAACCCATGCATTGAGATAAAGACGTTTTAATAGAGAAAGCAAAAGCCACACACACAAGCAAAGCAAAACAAGGAATTAATTCACTGCTTCCCATGGGCAGGCAGATGTTCAGCCATCTCCGGGAGAGCAGGGCCCCATCACACATAATGGTGACTTAGGAAGACAAATGCCATCATTCCAAATGTCCCCTCCTTCCTCCTTCCTCTCCCCACTTTATATACTGAGGAATATGGTCTGGAATATCCCTTTGGTCAGTTGGGGTCACCTGTCACAGCTGTGTCTCCCCCCAGCCTCCCATGCACCCCCCACTTCCTCACCAGCACGGCAGTATGAAAAGCAGAAAAGGCCCTGGCTCTGTGTAGGCCCTGCTCAGCCATAACAAAAACTTCTCTATATTATCAAGCCTGTGTCCAGAACAAATCCAAAACACAGTCCCACACCAGCCATGGTGAAGAAAATTAGCCCTACCCCAGGCAAAACCAGCACAACCCTACACTCATTTGTTGCTACACAAAATCTTTTAATTTTGAAGAATTGACTCTGTTAAAATGTTAATTATTCTGCTGATTAAAAAAAAATAAAATTCTAGAAAAACTTATATTTTTAACCTACTAAACCTGGTGCAATCCTAGTGAATTGTTATTAGACTAGCAGTGCCCTGATCACCAAAACATGTATGTTATGACTGTATTATTCATCTACAAAACAATATGTTACAGGCCAAAGTAACGCTATGAACACGAATATTCAGCATGTAGTGCCTCTTCACCAAAATGCCATGTTAGCAGTGCTACCTTTAAATAGGTACCATGTCAGTTAAACAAATGAGGAGATTCTTACAGAAACACTGCACGGCTCTTTTAGGGAGATGTGCAGTATGTCATATATTTAATATCCATTATCCATTTCGGGTAATTCTAATTGAATCAGCCAGTATGAACAACAGAAAGTGATCAAATGTAGAGGTGAAAACATCATACAAATCATTGAAAATGATTTGATTTCTGTAGCAGCAATCAAGTTAAATGAAAATTATTCTGGTTAGATAGATTGTTACTTTGCATTTCCTTTATGAGCTAGATTGATAAATTAATATAGAGTGGTAAAAAACAACCCATATAAATTACTCTGTCAACTCACAAGTATCATTAAATTCAAAGAAGTCCCACAGGATGCGAGTTGGTCAGAATACAAGTTTTCTCTCGTGACATTTACTTAGCATTTATAGAGGGGACTACTTTCAAGCAAAATTTTATTTTTATAGATTAGGTTTAAAAATAAAATTTTTGGAATGTAAGAATCTGGAAAAATGTCTGTGTGTTAACCTATATACTCTAGTTCTACATGCATCACAGAAAGTTTCTGGATAGCTAATAAATTAGTAAATTATGTAGCTAATCTGTTATTTGTCTTGTCCCAGTTGGCATCTTAGGAAAATACATCTGAACTATTCTATAGTTATTTCCACCCTATATTTGACAATAATGTCCGGAAACATATGTAAGGAAAGGGCAGTAGAAAAGCACAGTGAAGAAGTGGTAATTAGGAGTCAGTGTCTGTAAACAGGATACAATGGGAAAAGAAATTTCAGTGCTGCTTCATTCTTATGCTTTGTGACCTCTTCTTCTCCCTACTTCCCATCCGTTATCTACTAATTAGACATCTGTGTATGTCTGTGTTATCTGTTGATCTAGACTATAAACTCTAAAGGTAAGAACATGCCTTTTTGCTTGCAAAATGTCCTTCTTTCTTTGAATTGCGTATGTCTCAATTCTCACATGTAACTGGATGGACAGGCACAGCATGTGTCAAGTGGATCATTCAGGAAAGTCGAGAAGGGTGACAAGCAGAAACTACAACCCAAGTCCTTAGTGCTTGCAGTACATGATGGATATAGACTGTTCAAACCTTCAAACCAGAATTTCCCAGTGCTTTTTGCTAGCATAAATGGATGTTCAGGAAAGGAGATCTTGAATGCAATCCCATGTTTTCAGTAAGAGAGTTTATCTTGTCCTCCATAGCCTTTCCATTTCTGTGCACATTCTCCTCATTTCCAGTAAAAGTCTTTCCCTTCACAGAGAGACTCCTTCCTATTCCTTTGTATTCAAGCCAGTGTATTTCTGCTTCGTTCATGTTACAGTGGTACACAGTCACAAGAGACATTTCAGTATTAGGGCCCAGAACGTTTTGGTGCTTTGCCATGCAACTCCAGGGTGAAGTTAGAAGGTAGAAGTGGCATGTTCACAGATGCTACTTGCCATCCTTTCATCAGCCCTTGCCAGAATGCAGAATCATTTCTCAGAGCCATATTATCTGCATCTTTGTGAGGCCATAAGGTACTTCTGTGAACTCTGCACTTCAAGACATTCTCTTGAGATTCAGTGAGGGGGATTTCCAGACACATAATAACCCATGCACATTAATCTGAGACCTCCCACCAAGAATAAGGCTACCAAAGTTCCCAAAATCCCCAGCAAGTAAGGAATTTCCCTAACTCTGTCCTGATTAAAGATGTCTAAGTAAATTAATGACAGTTCAAAACTGTCAGGAATGGAGATAGAGTGGTTCTGATGGCACATGCAAGACTATGTGATTTAAACTTTCTAAATAGACTGTCTTACACACTTGTCCTGGAGCACAGATACCACAAAAAAACTTATAGAGCTCCATCTAGGGCTGAATGAACCAGCACCCGACACTCATTGTGGTGGTTTGGTACAGAGCACTTCTATAGTCCTAGAGCATCCACAAGCACTGATCTCTGTCAAACAACTGGGAGATGCAAAATCACCTCTTTTTATAAGACTGACATAGCCTTTCTGCCAGATGTTGTCTTGTTCAGAACAGATTACTTCTTAGTATGTCTTTAGCAAAGAGGCTTCAGTTGTGCATAATAGGTCTCATTATCTTTAAATTAGCCATTAGTGTCTTGAGTGATGAACAGATATAAATATTAAATACAATAAATATTACATGGAGGAGTCCATTTCTTGAGGCAGAATTCTTCTCCCTCTGTGAGTAGTTGCTGTATTGGGCTGGAAAAAAACTTCTGGAAATAGTTTCAAGCACTAAAAGGATTTACATACAGTGTAAGAAAATTATAAACTAAATCTTTTAGAATGCTTGTGAAAAAAATTACACTGGCTGTCTGTGCTCTTAAGTAGTCTCTGCAGATATTTTTAAGAGTCCTTTAAAAATAAAATCCAAAAGAAAAAAATCATATTTTCTCTAGTTTGGAAAGTATTTGCAGTTTTCTTTCTTATGTGTGAGCAAAAGATCAATTTTTCAGGTTAGAGAAAATGTGATCTTTCAATGAGAATATTGACAAGCAATTGTATTTTTATCCAGGGCTCTATAATGCTATTTTGCTATGAAGAAATTAATAATATTTTAACTGTACTAGTCAACTGTTTTGTAAATGATCAAAAATAAAAATAATTTGGAGAAACTTGGAAGAACGAGTACTGTTTAATTGCCTTATTTACAGTGTTTCTTTTGATAGATACTATCAAGACATAGTAACTGCCCTGAGAAACTAAAATCCTGAGGTTATTAAAAAAAAACAAAAACAAACCAAAGGAACAAAAACCAAACCAACAAAAAAACCCCACCAACTCAGAATGAGTGAATTTGACAAATTCACCCTGAGGGTCAAGGGAAGACCTTTGGCAACGTGAACAGTTAGTGGGTTTTTTCTTACTCAGTATTCACAAGTCTGTATTCTTCTCTGAACAACAACACAAAACAAAACCAAAACAAACAGAAAAAAGCCCACAAAACCAAGCAAACAAACAAATGAAAAAAAGCCCTAAGGAGAGATTTGAAAACATTTCAAAATAATGGCTATATGGCTGTGCAGATTTGGTAATGGATTTTTTTCCCAGTTTTAGTGGGCAGGTTGAGGAATCACTCAGAAATGTTTGAGAAGCAAACCACTAGCTTTGAAAACCCTGAGCTTTAAACTCATCTTTCCTAAAGTGTCCAAATCCAGAGTGATCGGTGTAAGTCCATATCTGTACCTGAAATTTATTAAGTCCCTTGTTCTTTCATTTTTGCTGTCCTTTTGAGGATTCATTCAAGTGTCTGAAAGGTAGGTATACTTCGTACTGTAATAAATCACTCGTTCTTGTGGCAATGTTGACCTTCCAAGCTGAAATACATTCAAAGAAACCTTGCAGCTCAGATATACTGGAGGTACTGCAAATTAATGCACTTTCTATATTACCTTAAAGCTCTATTTGCAACAAGTTATGTTTTTAGATGTGAGTCATTTCAGTAATTCTGAAAATCTTCTTTGCTAATACATTCAAGATTAATTTATTTCTGAGGTGGAGGGGAAACTCAAACCACACTCTGCCTAGTGCCAGTTCTGAAAAAAAATGTTTTCTTATTTAATGAAATTATTCTTTGTTGTTAGTTGTGTAGTACTTTGTTTGGACACGCATGTTTTTCATGTATAGAAGATCATGTCTGTAGCAGAACTGTGTAAAGCTATCTACAGGACAGCATGAAAATCAGGATAATTTTTATTTCCTAAATGATCCTTGACGTTATACCCCTGAGTTTCAAAATCTTATGAAGTGAATGCTAAGCTTCTAATGCAAGAAAATCTCCTCTAAAAATAGAGTAAGCACTGGATTGCAAGAGATAGATTCATGTTCTGCTTGGCTATAGTAACCACTGTAGATAAGACATTCCTGGGGAAGAGTGTGTCTGAATAGCAAGATATCCTTAAGGATTTGCAAATATTTTGTCATGACTAGAGAACCTTGCAGAAATGTATAATTAAGAAAAGGTGCAATTAAAGCATGTTTCTGAAAAAGAAGATTCTTGTAAGATCACATTTTTAATTTTCTTGTTCTTTTTTCAACAAATACAGCTACAGAGAATCATTGGGAAGGAAGATGATTTGAAAGCAGCTGGAGATGAAACAGTACTTCGGGTATGAAATAGAGATAAAGTTTTCTTTACAAAAACATTTTCATGTTTCCTGTGAACTTTGTTATTTTTTCAGAGTTTTTATATAAGTATATAAGCGCCAGTATTAGTGCTTTAATTAAATGAAAGGGAATGATTTTTCAACTGCTTTCTAACTGGGAAGGAAAATGTTTGTAATTTCTGAACTATCTGAGGAAATGTTTTCAGTCAGTGTACTTCATGACTGTGTAGTCACTTGGTTATTTAGTTTCCATGAGCCTCTGTTTCAAAGTAACTCTCTTCTATTTATGAAAAACTAAGAAAAACCTCTGTATTGCTGTATGAGAATAGAAGGCTTTTCAAATAAAAACTGATAGCTTAAACTTACCCAAGTGCTGCTGTTGCAGGAATATCAGCTTATTCTGAGTTGTTTTGAAATGTGATTACTGAGGTGTCACTGAGGTAACAAAAGTAAGTATTACTTTAGTTAAGTCCACTTCCAGAAAGCTTGCCACTGATGGAGATAGTGCACGGCATGCTACACTGCAGAATCGTGCTGCTATTGATTTTTTGCTGTTAGCACTTGGACATGGTTGTCAGGAATTTGAAGGCACGTGTTGTTTAGATATCTCAGATCACTCTGAATCCATCTACAGACAAATTGCCACACTTCAGGAACAAACAAAGAAGATCACATGGGAAACTGGGTTTTTTGGCCTGGAAGGCTGGTTGTCTAGTTGGGACATTTCGGGTTGGTTACTGTCCTTACTCAAGACGGGGGTCTTAGTTTTGATAATAGTTGTGGTTGTCCTAGTAATGTTACCATGTATTGTGTCGTGTTTGCGAAGGGCCCTGCAAAAGATGACGCAGGGAATATTTCTCTCACAATTACAGAAAGGGGGAATTGAAGGGGTTAATAGCGGGTCTGTTAGCTCCCAGGATGAAGATATCAACTGGGCAAACTTTCAAGTGTATCCTTGACAATAAGGAAGTCAGTACACAGCCCTAATGGAGAAAACAAAGGCAGACTGTAAAGTTGGTAGGCCTAGGATGTGGGAAATGCAATAAGGCCTTGAGCTTTGCCAAATGTCCATAGAACCTAGCCAATGAAAATGCTGTTGCTTGCTTACCGAAAATAAGGGTACTGCTTGCTGCTAGCAAGGGGTATAAAAAAGCAGATGAGAAAATAAAGACAGAAGACATCTTTTCTGCACATAATTGACTCCTTGTATCTTTATTGGCCGTCACGACTCTACACTGACAAGATGGCGTAGATGCAGACCAGAAGAAACAATCTTAGAGTATGATCTTTCTGGGAAAGAAGCTACATTGTTTTGCAGACCTTTAGCAAATGGTAAATACGTCTCTTCAATGAAAGGGACGGGAAAATTCCTGCTCACTTCTGTCTGTTTTCCCCTGAAGCCAGCCACCTTCAACCTCCCTTCTTCCCAGGGAGAGTCTTTGCCAGCTGCCATCTCTTCTTCATTCTATACTCAGCAGAGAGACAAGATATTCTGTAGCCTAGGTGAGACTGAGTGAGACTGAAAACAGAGAGGAAGTCCTGAGTATACTGAAAACACCTCTAAAGAGGCTGATGAACCACATTACATGCAATAGCACAAGGGGCAGTGCCTCAAGTTGCATCGGGGGAGGTTTAGATTGGCTATTAGGAAAAAAATTTTCACTGAAAGGGTGATCAAGCGTTGGAACAGGCTGTCCAGGGAAGCAGTGGAATCGCTGTCCCTGGAAGTGTTCAAAAATTGTGTGGCTGTGATGCTTAGAGTCATAATTTAGTGGTGGACTTGGCAGTGCTGGGCTAAAGGTTGGACTTGATGATCTTAGAGGTTTTTTCCAATCTAAATTATTCCATGATTCTAAGGAGGGGGAGAGTACAGATGGATTATCTCCATCTATTACTATAAGATGCTGCTTACATCAGCAACACTACTTTTCTTGCATGCTTAAATTGGATGGTCTAGCTGAAGGATATTTTTCTCACCACAAACTTGCCTTCAGTTGTAAACTTTCAGTTTACATTAGGCATGAGGCGGCAACTGCTCATGTTGAAAGCATTCAATAAGGAATTTATACAGGGCTCTGCTTTGTAAACCTATCATACTTCAGCAGTTTCTTCAAAGAGCTGCTCATGTTTACTTTTTCACCTGCCTGGGGAAAAAGCGAAAGTGGCAGTATTGCCAACACCTTTAATACCTATTAGGCATAAAGTGGCTTCTGGTGCACAGAAATTTTCCTCCCTTAATGTATATTTGAAGTTCAGTTAAAAATTGTTTGACTGACTAACAACCATCGCTTTTCTTGAATCTTTTCATCAGTCACCAGATTAAAATAGCTAGGATTAATAGGGTTGTCCGCTCCTCAAAACTGATTTCAATTGAGACTTAACTGCCATGACAGTGAAAGAAAAAGGATCTTTATTCTGCATGAATGCACAGCTATAGTATAAAATTTCCAGAAAACTTTGATACAGTTGGACAGATTAGTTATGAACACATAAGGTTATTGTAAGCTAATTGAATACCTGAGCCGGAACGTCCCTCTTTTGTTTTTTGTCTTGCTTCAAATTTTGTCTTCAGAATTCTCCATTCAGAAAAATCTGAAGTTACTGCAAGCAGAAAATATTATTTCATACAGTTTCTTAAAAGATTATTAATGGAATTATAGTACAAAAGAAGAATTAAATAGCTATGGAGACTACAGCTAACTTGAAATTCTTCTGATCTCTATAATTCTACTTGGCAAAATCCAGATTATCGCATTTCTTCTAATTTTTATTTTCTTTCCTATCTCAGTCTCCCATGAAAGAAGTTGATTATATTTGTAAGCAGTGAATATGACTATACAATGTAGTCAGTGGATATGTTTTTACCCTTTCTTTTTAATAGTTATGGCAGTCATAGTATTCCTTTTAAGCAAAGCAGATGAAGCATAAAAATATGGGGTTTAAGTTGACTGTGTCTTTTGAAAGGTGAGATACTGCAATGGAATGTTGGTGTTTGGGATAGTTCTTTATTTCCACAACACTTTCACAATTTGCATATGAGTCTGCTGGTTTTTCAGAGTAAATCCAGTCTCTGATACCAGATGGAAAAAGTCACCAACTCAGGAAAATACAGTTTAAATGGTAGTCTGCAATTTTATTTAACCAGTGGGTTTATCCGTGTGTTCCTCTTACAGTGTAAACAAAAGTCCCAGTCATTTATTAACTATATGGAGATACCATTTAATACTCATTGAGTTACTGTATTAGGAAAAGAGAAAGCAGTTTTCTGTGTTCCCAGGGTGCTTGTATCTCTGCCTTTTTTACTGAAACTTTGACTTGCACGCCTAAAATTCAAATTTTCACCGGTAATGGCCCTTGAATGGGATTGCAGTGGCCTTGGCTATCCAGATACATCCTCCATTTCAATGGAGGGTTTTTCTTTTTCCAATATTATAATTGATGCTGGAAGAAAAGCCAAAAGGTCTACCTAGCCTTAACTGACCCCATCTTTTGGGAAGTTCCATGCTGAGTTTTGCAGAGCAAAACTCATAGCAGGGGTGCCCACACAGTGAAGGAGGCTTACAGGTGCAGGCAGGCTTACAAAACTGGAACCTGGTTCTTTCTAATTAGATTGGAGAAAATGGCAAAGAAGTCAACAGAGGCAGTGCCCTCACCCACCTTCCCCACAGGCCAAAGGAAATGCTCCATCTGGCTTCCTAGCAGAACGGTTCTTCATATGAAACATCCAGCTGAACATGTCACTGTGGTTCATGGAAGAGGAGAACCAAACTGCCTGCCTGGAAGTGGTTTAGAATATAGCAGGAAAGTGCACGAACTAGAAGATTTTGGTGTATTTTGAAAAGGTGTTGCCCAGTGACCAGCACCCGTTGCTTTTGTGTTACTGCCCTGAGTTCCTTAAAAGGCTGCTCTAACAGTGTATGGTGCTTTAGTGTTCTGGTAGTGAAAACAGTGTTAATGGCTGCAGATATCTCCTTTATGGGCAGGGAATATTCTAGATCAGGGACTTTGCTCTCAGGCCCTTCAATTTAGATTAATGAGTTATCAAGTACTTTCAATACCTATGCTTTATGTAATGGGTAAACTTATAAGTTAATTTTAGCTATTGTTAGAAAAGGAATGACAATACAGAATGTTTTATATTTGTTCTTGAAATGAAATTAATGTTGGGAAATACATGTGCTGTCTCATTTCCAAGTGATTAAACATATGCTTCTGGATTTCATAATGAACACATTTTCATACAAAGTGTGAAAAGTGTGGTTGGGGAGTTTTTTAACATTTAAATAGTAACTGGGGACACAGCTATTAATCTCTTTTAAACAGAAAACCTTTGAACTAAAATTGAGTGTGACTATACATGGTATACTTTTAGACCCATATATGAATAATATCCTATTATTTGTGTATCAGTTGTTTTAACCTGTCTACTTCTCTCTTTTTTTTTTTTCTTGTGGTTCTAGAAGAGGTAAATGAGATTAGTCATTCACACATTTATCACTGCTTACCTGGTAAGAACAAGGTTTTACACTTGGACCTTCAGACATTGCAGCATTTTGATGCATCTCCTCAGCCACAGGGACTGTGTAGGTCATCCTAACTTGCCCATCTGCTCCCTAGAATCTCTAGTTAAAGTTTTCTGCCCAGACCTTCAAACTCTGCATAGCCCTGGGCCCAGTGTAACTAAAGACTGCCTGTACTCTGTAGTACTCTGTAACAGGGGTGCAACACATCAAATTTTGCAAGACTCTAGTCCAAGACTAAAATTAATATCCCTTCCAAAAAGAGTCTGTCATTAATCTTGTAACTTCTCAGTTCAGCTGGAATGCACATTTTTCCTTGACCTATCTTCTCCAACATAAATATGTATGTTTTCTATCAGCAGTTTAACATTGAATTCTGTTGAAAAGCTTTTAGATAGTTTAAATGAAGGAGTACTGTGATGGTCCTGCATGCTTTAAAGAAAGCCCTCCAGACAGGTAAACTCCCTAAAGAATCAAGACATCTGACACCAAAGTATTAGGATACTAAAAAAATGCAGGGTCATTTTTTGCCTCATGGACAAGGAAATTATGTTATTTTTCCATATGAGCTGATGACATTATAACCTCAAGAGAGAAAAAGAAACATGCTTTCTGACATCTTTCTAGGTACCTATTCTACAAGTACATTGAATTTGGCTTAAACAATAAAAGCCTCTCCCACAAGAAATTCATCTGGAAGTCTGTCATGGTCACAGTAGCGTTGCTTTCTATTGCACAAATGTGTAAGGCAAGACCACCCTTTTAGTCTCTGCTGTTTAACCTACTCTGAAGCACTTCAAATTATACAGACAAGCCAGATTACAGTGTGGGCTCCTGATAGCCCAAGGAAGACACGTGATTTGGCCTTGCACTAATCTGTCTTTGATTCAAAACAGTAAGAATCTGGTTATCATCTCTGAAGGCTACCTAATGCATTTGCTTGTAAAATTAGTTGGAATAAATTAGAAATGGTGCACTTAAACATGCTCAGTTGGCATTTTGGGGTAACTGAAACCTGTGATGGCAGCATGAACGTGGACTACCTGTGGATGTGTTTGGATACTGGGCTGGGGGAGTTGGTCACAGTCCACCTGAGTCAGTTCAGCACCGAGAGCAAGGAGGTTTGCACATGCTGAGGATGGATGTGCTTGGTCTTCAAGGCCAAGTCCACATTGATTGAAATATTGTGCTTCAAAGCACACCTGCTGAGCGGGGTCCTTATTATGGAATCTCTACTTCGGGGGGAACGTATGCCATGACAGAGAGGCAGGGCCTGAATTCTTGTGAGGAGCTGTCCCCAGCTGTGTGTATGCAACAGTGGCATTCTCTGACTCCTTGGCACAGTCAACCCGCTCACAAGACTAGTTTCTATTTGTGGCATAAAGTATCTCTTACAGTATCTACTTCCAAATTAGCTTTAGCCCCTTTGGCTGGAAACCATTTTTATTCTGCACCTCTTCACTAATGCAGAACTGTGGGTGACATGCCGAAACCTAAGGATGTCCGTGAAGTTGCACATTCTTCATTACTAAAGGCACTAAGGGTACAGCAGAGAGATTCCATGGCATTAGTTGTCATTGAAAAACAACTCATCCCACCAATAATGGGAATTATGGATGTTGTTGAATGCTGGATATAAGCTGTTTATTGTTTAGAAACTGTTCCATGAGATTTCTCAGATGTTGTCTGTTATATCCTCTGTAGAAACAGTTGTGCACATTTTAGCCCTTCTGCATCAGACCTTGAATCCTACCTAATAAGAAAGTGTGTTGCAAAACATTAAAAAGCTTAAGTGTAGATTTACATCATGATGAGAGTTGATTCATCATAAAATATGTTGTGTCATTCTGGGGCACACTTGAGACTGTCTGGACTTCACCAAAGAGGACTGCTTTTGGAGATCTGGTCTCCTGGTCCCACTAGTTTGCCTGTTTACAGTTCCTTTGACTGGCTGTAGCTGGTAGGATTAATTTCATAATGGATACATCTTTAAACCTTCTTCCCAGAACTGAGTAGTAGGATATATCCCAACATCTTGGAGACTCTCAAAATCACAGAAAGTTTGAATTCTCTTGAGCAGTGTATGAGGGTAGGCTGGGACAGAAGTCTGGTATGATAAACTGACTGAGCTAGCAGCTTAAAAACAAAGAGCATTTCAGAGAAGTAGACTCAGAAAAATTTGCAAGGATTTAGTCTTACCTTTGGAAAGATTTGGGACACCACTAGCAGACAGAAACTAAGTTAATGTTCTCCTTGCCTGACCTCACTTTTCTGCCCGTTCTTCCATCTACTCACTCTCCTTTTAACTAAAAAAAAAACGCAATCCGAAAGATGTATTTTTACAATTTCTATTGAAACAAGACATTGCACAGCAAATACCATCTCCCAGGAAGCAAGCACAAGAACAAGAAACGAATTGCAGATTTTAATCATGATGAATGCTTTCCGGTCATGCCTCAGGCAAATTCTGCAAGGAAAGGTGGTAAGAATCTAGAGACAGTAAGTCTATTAGCATTTCAGATGAGTTTTGAAAATCAGTTAGGTACATTATTCTGAAAATCCCATCTCCCTGTGCGATAAGTTTCTTCTCAGTGGTACTTGTTGGTACTTGCTGCAGTATCAGGTCCTTAACGTCAAAAGCTCAGTGGGGAGCTACAGGGTTAGGTAGATCTGTGCCCATGACTCAGTGTTTGCAGCATCAGGCCTCTTATGTTAACAGCCTGTGTAATGTAATAAGGAAATAACTGTTGTGTTATCTGATCTTGCTTAAAAAGAAATAATTGCATAATTCAGCAGTTCATGGTGCTTTTGAAAAGTGTAGGAGGCGTTAACATTACTCTAGGAAAATTAGCCTATGTTTGTAATATGTACACATGTGTTCATTAGTTCACAGACTTGTGTGGCATCAGATTGTGTGGTCTTTGGGGTTCTTTGTCTGACCCTGGAACGTGTCTGAGTTCCCCAGCTGAGATACATGTCCCTGCCCCATTCTGTGCTTTTATCAAGACAAAACTAAGAACATCTCGATTCTTTCTCCACTCTGTGCCTCAGCTTTCGGTAAAATGCACAGTTCAAAAGGGTTCTATGGTGCACCCTACCGGAGCTGAAGGTACCAGATACACCAGAATACAAACTTTCACTCAATTTAGATAGTGACTCAAAGCTACGAGTTTGGTCTTCTTTGCAGCTCTAGGATTAGGTTACCATTTCATTCTCATTGCAGAGACATTCCAAGTGTAAGTTATTCTTTTACCTAAGCTCAGTAGGGTGAGGTGTTGGAAATATTAATAGAACTCTCATTATCTTCTAACAAAGATTTGTCATGTTGGTACTAATTTATACAGTTCAGCAGCAAAAGCTCCTAATGATTCTGTGAACAAAAAGGAATTGTACTTTAATTTAATAGCATTAACGCTAGGAAAAGCAATTTTTTGAAATTTTACCCTTAAGCTGTAGTCTCTGTGGTCTCCTACTGCATTTTATGCTTTAAAGAGATGTACTGTTTTGTAGTTTTAAAATATATTTAACTCTCACTAACATAGTATTTGGACATCTGCCAATTTCACTATGGAATTCCAACTGATAAAGAGGGTAGCCAACAAGTAGTGCATATTTGTTATTAATTCAGGGATAGGCTTTGTCATCTTAGGTAAGATGAGGTAGGTATTGTTTGTATGTCTTCTTCTAGCTTGTAACTAGAGAAATAGAAGAAAAAAACTTTCTGTCACAGACTTAAATTTTTAACAGCTTATTTTAAACCTAGTTTTTCAGTTTGTTTTCAATATGGCACTGATTGTAATATGGACTCATTAAATTGGAAGCATTAAATTGCATAATCATGAATTCAGTTTTTAAAATTACATCAGCAAATTTATTTCTTGCATTTTTAAGTCTCCTTTAAACATGTAAGCAGAACGCACATTAGAATCTGACTGCACTGAGGGATATGTGGATTCTTCTCTCTTTCTTCTTAGAAAACTTTGCATTTTGATATAAATAGTTTGGGTTTGAATTTCAAATAAGCATACATGAATGTTTGACTTTTGACTTTCAAAAAAGCATATGCCAATGTTTATGCATCAGTCTTCACAGTAATCTGAAGTGTTTAAACTTCAGAAGGATGGATCTTGCAGGTATTTAAATATTCTTTGCCTGCAATTAAATTATAAAAGTTTGCATGTGGCTTGAAGAGGTTTTTTTCTGGGTTCACTCATACATAACTCATGTCACTGGCATTTGGTGAATTGTAGCTTGCAGTAGAAATGAGGAATGCTTTAACTATGAAATAACTGTGTCACATATGCAGTAAGCATGAAACACAGTGGACTAATGGGACTTGTTATTGATGACGCTGAAAGCTAAATAACCATTAGTATTAAATCTTATGAATAGACTCTTGTCTTTCATCTTACCTCTTCAAGCAGATAAAAGACACAGAGGCTATTTAGATGTCATAAGAATAGTTTGCTGAAATCCCTACGGACTTACAAAAAAAAATCTCTCGTGTTGCTTAGTGTTTTGTTGTGTTCAAAGAAATGCCAGTATGCTAGTGCTGAAAGAAGAATTATGTGTGGGTTTAGGCTTGTTAAAGATGCTGTTGAGTTGAAACAATGTGCACCCCTTCTCTGCAAAAATTTCTTCTTTGGGTTTTAAAAATACATAGAAAAATCTCTAACATTGAAAATTTTGTAAGACCATATTATAATACAGCATTATCAATGTTTGTATTTTCCTAGATTCGTTTATAAGACTATTGTGTATCTTTTTAAATGGCTGTAACATATTAGAAATATATAACTAAAATTTTTTTACAGATATTAATCTTCTATTCACCTAAGAATAAAGATTTTTAAAGATTTAACTTGCAACCTTCTCCATTTTAATAATAAAATACACTGACAGTGTTGTAATTTGTCCTTATCTTTCATACAGAATATTTAGAAACAGAACTTATAATACACTGTTAGCAGTTGATGTGGAAGTGGTGTTCAGCTCTGAGATCTTGTGTGATAGCTTTGGGAACAGTAATTAAATTGCAAGTATCTCTTGTGAAATTCTGGTTCAAATAAATATTTCTAAATTTGTGGTGAGTATATATTAATCATGCAGTGCATAACAATCATACTGGTGTTTTCTTTTATAGGAAACAGAACTGGAAGACTGTGGTGTTACAACTATGCTGCTGGTACACTTCTTTGGAAAGGAAGGAAAGCAAAAACTTCGCTATTCTGAGTTTTTCAGGTATTTTTTCAGCTGGACAAGCCTAACAGGAACCAATCTTGTTCCTATCCCCTCTGCTTTGTACCAACACTGGCATTAATCTGATCTTACACTTAGCTGATCCAGAAAATTAAGCAACAAAGTAGAGATTATTCATGATTTTGCATGATTGCATTTCCCATTTAGCTCCTAGAGTCTGCTGTCTACAGGAGCTGAGCACCATAACTCCAGAGCAGCAATGGGCCTGGAGGCTGTGAGGGTCGAGACTCCCATTCTTGGCAGTTCTATGGTGACATACCTTAAAACAATGTCATTCATGAGTATTTTTCTTGACCAAATCACCAAAAAAGTGACTTCAAATAAAAAATATTTTCTGAGCTGAGATACCCCCTTCCCTATTACAGCTATCATGGTAAGCTGTAGGCAACTTATCCACTTGCTTCAAATTCCAGCTGCTGTTGAAGCTTTACCTGTGCCTTTTCCTTCACCCTTTGAACTACTTTTGCAATGGGACTATGCAGATACCTGTTTGAATCTTGACACACGTCTCCTAGCATGACATCAAGAGAAGATTATCTACATCAGTATTATCCTTTTCTACAAAAATAATCAGTCCTTTACAGACTGCAAAAATAAAGTAGAATAATGTGGTTTACTTCAGTTTATATTCAGAAATGGAGAATGTGTGTCAGCCCTCTTAAAAATGAGCATTGTTGCACTCAGTAGACTAAAAAGTGTTCGGCTCCAGTGGCTCTGGTACATACCAGTCTTCAAATAAACAGTCTTTCTCTTTTGAAGACCTCAGCTCAATAGGAATCTAAGTGAGTAAAATAAGTTTAAGATGTCTCCAGCTCCCTTTCCTATAAATACCATAGATCCTCTCAATGAAACAAAAGGCAGAGAGCACCAGTAAAAGGTTGTGTTTGCATATACAGTGTAAACTGAAAAGCCTCAGGTTTTAGATAAAATCCTACATTGACCCAATGAGGCATGACATTGATGAAACTATGTACCTAGTACATTCAGAATGCATAGGTTAAAGACCTTTGCCCGCCACACAGATAGAGGCCTGTAATCAAAATCAAACTCCCACATCTTGCTCTTAAAATTTGTGGGATAAGTGTAAGGTTTAATGCAGGTAATTTTTCAACAGTGGCAGTTATGTTTCGTAGAGCTGGAATGTGCCTCTTTATCACTGCATAGACACTCCATCTCAGTTGCAACATGACAGTGAAGTTTGTTTAACACGAAGAAAGGTGAATAAAAGGATCGCTGTCTTTTTAACCTCTGTGAAGATATCACCTTTCACATTATTTTATTTGCAAGTAAATCAAGCACATCTTTTCTGGCTTCCTATTGTTCAGGGAAAATGTGATTTCTATCTGATGGCCTCTCATAACACTTTACCTTATGCGAGAAGCTATTGTTGGCTGTTTGATCAAAGTGCCACGCTGTTTTTACAAGAGATGACTGATGAGCTGTACAGACATAGATCATTGTCAAAAGCAGAAAATAATGATGGTAAATGCTTTTATCATTTTCCAAGTTTTTGCCTAGAAAGCTTTACCATTGATCAGTGTAGTACCTAGTAGAAAGTAGAGGTGATTAGGTTTGATTAGGACACACTAAAAGTTGTCACATTAGGTAAATACACAGATATTGCTGTGCTGCAGAGTCCTTGAAACTTTAAAAAAAAAAATCAGGAATGCTCTCATTGTGAAATTTTACCATACTTACATGGCAATTCTGAAAGCTGAGACCAGTGTTCTCATCTCATTACTTACATATATTTTCCTCATGCTTCCTCCTTTTCAGTTTGGCTGGCATTAAAAAATCCTTTTGTAAGTGTGCAGCCATCTGTATCTACATGTACACCAGTGTTGTCCAACCCTTTTAGCCCACAGTCCAAACATTTAAAAACTGTCAGACAGCCACAGTCAATATACCAAGGCAATTAATTTGTCCTGTTCTCCTTTCTTTGCATTCAAATGGCACAAAGAAAATGGAAACTGTCTACATCTCTTCAGGCAAGGTGAGAGTGATATAAGCCAGCTCTTGTGCCTCCCTTCCTACTGCCCTGAGCACAGGAGGCACACTGAGTGTAGGGAGGGAAAATGGCTTAATCATCTATCTCCAGCTGCTGTGTGGTTCTTGGGATATCATATGGTTTTGATACACACAAGAGTTTTTTATACCAAGTGTAAAGAATCAGACCATGAAATAGAATATCGGATCACTTTTCAGCCTTTCTTGGGCTGCTGAGAGCAGTAGAGTAAGTAAAGAAGTAAAGAAACAATCTTGTCATAGTTATTTTGTGGCACTAGTAAAGCTCTTTTTCATGACTCTCCAGAACATAGTCAAAACAGCAACCAAAGATGCTCCTCTTCATTCTCTGCTGAGCAGATTTGGTGGGATACCCATATTGTTCTACAGTTGGAACTGCTTAGAAGCAGTGGAAGCAATCCAGGATGTACATTATCCTATATCTTTATTCTCCTGTATCAGTTTAAGAAAATATAGAGGAATTTGCAGCAAGCCTAAAATCATGTAACAAAGAAAGGTAGATTTAATACAAGAGGCTTTAATCAGGTGAAACTTTATTCTCAGAAGATCTGAACAAGTTTCTGTTTCAGATTACCACCGCTCAGTTTTACACCTCAACAATTATGTCATCTTCTAATACCAGGACCTGTCTTAGAGAATGTCAGATTTCAAACGTGAAGCCAAAGTTCCCCAGATTTCCAGGCTTTTTATTCTTTTGTATGGATTTCTCCCCATTTTTTGATACAGAAATAATTTTTGGTCTTTTCCTTACAAAAAAAAAATTTCAATTGTGCTTTAATTTTCAGCTATATTGTATGTACGATTTTTTATTCTGAGTAGAAAACTATTTAGTATTCTAGATATAGCAAATATTTCTTCCTGACAGACACTATTTTTCCCCTGAAAAAAAGTCCTTTACTGATCTTATTTAAGTATGTTTAATCCCAAATAAAAGAGGAGACACTATTTCACTCCCTAAACAGTTTACAACTGCTGCGATTTTTTTCTGTAATCTGTCCCCAAGCAAGCTTAAATCTCTCACAGTCTTCTTGAAGGTAAAAAATAGTGCAGAAAGTGTGGAAAGGATATTCAAAAAACTCTCTGATAGTTGTGTTTTTTCCTGGGATGTCTTACAAAAAAAGTACTTCCTGGTATAGTTAAATAATGGGCATCTTTTAATCATATAAGGAAAATTAACATTTCAAATCCAGTTTATGCCATTTTCTTACCTGATTTGTTGCTTCCAAACTTTTCATTGGTTAATAGAATTTTGCATCAGAAATATTGTTTAGTCGTGGTCCCTTTTTTAATTCTGCTTTAGCTTGAAGGTCACAAATTGTATAACTATGCACACAAATCATGCCTTTTCCCTACCTACCCTGTTTCTTTCCTTCAGTATTTTGAATTCCTTGGTACATTTCATTTGAAACCTTTCATTTGAGAAAGCAGAATGATCCAGGCTGAACCCCACTGCTAGTGCTGACATTTTTGGGGGGTGTTCTGTGTGTGTGCCAATGCGTAGATGCAGGATCTGTTTCAGGTAGCATCATCAGCTGGCAGTGCTTTAGCTGTGATTGTAGCTTGTACATTTTCAGTATTTTTCATCTGAAGATTTGGAATTGCTTTGCAGAAATAAGAGTATGATTGCTTCCTTACTTGTCTCTGTACCTACATTTCTATCTATGAGTGTGCATATATAGACAGAGCCCTAATGCACTTAAAGATTACATCTAGTGCAACCAAGATTGGGCAGTGAGGAGGTGAAGACAGCAACAAAATCTGGCTTTGTGATATTCCTATCATAACTCAATCTGAATATTTCCCAAATACTTAGTAAAGAGATTGAGACGTCTATTTCTTCCTTTCCTATATACTTAGCAAAAGAATAGCTTGATTAGTTTCCACGCAATGGTTATAAATGAAAGTGAGGGGTTTGGTTCGGTTTAGAAATACTTAGGATAGTAAATCCAAGAGGGGTTTATCTGTAATTCTGAAAATTGTGAGATTGATTAACTATCTTAACGCTTGCAGAACTGAATTTACAAGCATACATCTAAATGTTCTCTAAAGGTTAATGTCAAGCCTTTATGATATTTTCTGTATTGAGGTTTGAAAGTCAGATTGCAAAAAGGCAACTCGCAGCTGGTTTGCAACAGTCTTTTGGTGCAGAGAGGGTTACCAATTCTTCAAAAGGACTTCAAGGTCTAAAGAGGAGCCAGAGCAGAGTATAAATGCTGGGGTGGTATATCCACCGCTATCTTCGTTGTTAAGTTTCCTTCCTACAAATCAGTGCAACAAGAACTGGTCAGATCTGTACTAGAGTGTTAAAGCTCTGCATAGACAGTTCAGGTCAAGAGGTGGAAACATTTCCTTTAGTGTGTCATTCTACTATTTTGTGTTCCGTAAAGAATACAATGCTAGCACTTCTCTGGCTGGAGGGGGAATAGCTGCATTCCTGGGGTCTCCCTGCTTTTATTACATTTTCACTTCTATTTGTGGTGCTTTAACACCATTAAAGCTTAGTTGCCAAAAAGTCTTGAGAGACTCCCTCTTTCTATAGTAGAGCACATTACAAAATGAGGGATAAGTCCTGATAAGGTTTTTGGATGCTGTTGTAGTATGATAAGGAATTTGGCCATTGGCCTTCAATGTGGGTGTTTGAGAGAGTGTGCATAAAACGGGTTATCTTAAAGAAAGTAGTCTGTTCTCAGCCTTTTCCCCATCTTATAAATTTATGGTTTGCCTTTCCTTTTTATTTGGAAACTGAGGGTTTGCTTTTATTTTCAACCAACATAAGAGTATTCCCAGTGTAATTATTTTTTAATTGTAGAGCAGATCTACAATCAGAATCCTGTTCCTGTAGTTGAATTCTGACTCCCTTCAAAGTTCCCAGTCAAGTTCCCACTGACTTTGGGAGAGCAGGAATTTCATTCCTATGGGTTTTTTTCCTAGTATCTGGATAAATTTTTGAGCATTTTCCAGCTGAAACTCATAGCAGCACTGTGATCCAGAAGATAACAAAAGCAAGTATCCCTAGTGGTGTCTTGACATTTATGTATCGAGTTTTACTTCCTAACCAGAAAGTTATTTTTAATAACTTATAATAACTTTCACTTGAAAAAAAACTCATTAGGATTTTTAACTCTCACATCTGGGAATAAGAATGACCTAGAATGCTGATGCGATGATTCACAGTATTTTAATTTTTTTAATATGGGAAACTATCACATAAACTTAAAATTGCACATTTCAGCTGCTACTCCGAGTAGCATTTGATACAGCAGAAAATCTTCCCGCTCTGGCTTGCCCGGAGCAAGCCTACAGGTTGAAATGAACTTCAGTTAGAAGAGGGTGAAGAACCAAGAGCACATCAAAAATGCCACAGCCAAAACCTTCACTTTCTGCTCTGGCTTTGCTGCCCTTTTCAGCTGGCTAATGTGTGCAGCTTGGTGGGCCACCTGCTACTTCCTTATCTTGTAGAAGTGATTGATCTTTCAGCTCTCCTGCCTTTATTGGGTCTGGCTAGAGGACAGGTCGCCAAGGCTTTTCTACTTAAGGAAATGCAATATTCAGAAAAGGTGGAAGAATATGTTTCTTTGTAATCACCTATGGCTACTGACTGGTAAAGCAAATGACTGAGAGTTAGCTCCCCAAGATAAAAAGCTCAAGACTCAAGACCTTAAGTCTGTTGCAAAATATATCTACCTTTCATAGATTAAAAGCCAAGAAAATAAAACATAGTGTCTTGTTTCCCTGTATCCAAATTTTAGGCATATTTCTGTAAGTGACCTCATTTTCAGCAGTTCTCTTCCTCCAAACCAGACATTACGTGGCTTAGAAACTACGGTCAAAGATACTGTTCAGTACAGTGACTTCCAGCTAAGTACAAGCCACACATCCCAGATACCACCTGTTCCTTACCTGTGATGGCCACTCTCAAAATGCGGCCAAGTGGCCCTAGTCAGTGTCTGCTGGACTGACTCCATGCCTGGTCCACATGCCAGGTCCATGCTGTTCTCTCCCCCTGCACCTCAGCCTCCCTTCCCAGGACCTGGGGGGACTGTTGCAAGCTGTGGGTGCAGCAGGGCCACTTGTGCCAACCCATGCAGCCAGGCTGGTCTCCCTGACACATGCTGACTGCAGTGCTGGCCAGAGACAGTGTTCTCATGAGTTACAAAGAGAGCAGCTGGGTTTGAAAAGGGAAGAGTGCAAGCTGTGCGAGTCAGCTCTTGCTGGTCTGCAAGACAAGGGGCTGCCCGGTCACACTAGTGGCACTAACTGGTCCTCTGGTGTTTCATCTCCTTGTGAGAGGGAGAGTTGGGGGAGTTGAAAGTGTGTCAGGTCTTAAAGCTGACTCTGGAGGAGTATACCTTAGTGTTTGACTATACCGTTAGAGCCTTGTAATCTCCTTTACTAGACCTGAAAAATGCACATATAAAATGTGAGAGCATATTGTACCCCTCCTCGGTATTAATCTAATTAAACTCTCGCCTGAAACTTAAAATCATCTCCACTATAAGGCTTTCATTTACCTGCATGTCCTGAGCTGTGAAGCATTTGTTTGCCCTTCATTTGCATGTGCAGCTCTACCTATTAGAAGAAAAAATACAAGAGAGAGCTTATGCCACAACAGCAGTCTTCAGCTAAGCCCTTATAGACTTCACAGAGCTTCGAGCTACTAATTGTCCAAGTGATCTCATTAAAGAACTAAAGATAGCTGTGTGAACTAAAATGCCATAATTTCAAGGGAAAGAATTCAAACCCAGTGAGGCCCTGCAAACTGATGAGCAAATGAGCCTCTGCTGATATTGGCTACCTAGACGCTTAACTGTCCTCTTCTCCAAATAATTTCTTCGTCCCAATATAGGAGTATTTCATTACCTCCTGTCAATAATTTCTGCAACTCAATAAAGCAGGGTTTTTTCAAAATACTAAAAGTATTCTGGCAGGCACCACTATTTTTAGCCTTTATTTAAACACTATCGCTTGTTTTTGGTTGCCCCATTTCTGACATGGAAGTTATCAAATGGATCACACAGTATTGTCTTTTACTTTTTCAAAATTAATATTAGCCAGAATAAATTAATGGGAATTAATGAGAATAATTAATGGCCATGCAAACCAAACTGGGGAAACTCAAAGCTCCGACTCTCCTTACAGTTCCAGTTCTGTACCTGCAGGTTGGTACTTGCTTCTTGCGATACTTTTTCTTTTCTTCCTAAATGAATGGGTGTCTCCTAAAAACCTTGATGTTCACCCTTTCCTTTTTCAGCCAGTTCTCTTCTTACCTTCCTGCAACATCATCTTCTGTGCTCTTCTGAACTCTGTACATGTGAATTATAATCCTCTCTAATCCATCCTCTAGTGAGTGCAAAATTAATTTGCCAAACCTCTGTATGCAGTTATAATCTTTGAGGCTTTCAGTCATCTTCTCCTGCAGTGATGATTTCAAGTTTCCTCTTTTCTTTCACCTTTGTGGTTACTAGGGCCTCATCTTTCTAGGCACCTTCCAACCTTGTCATTCCTCTCCTATTAATATGAAATCTCATAAATTATGTGTCAGGCCTTTAGTTACCATGTCTCTTTTCATCCATTCATTATGCTGCTGCCTTACCGATTATTTTATCTCCTTATCAACGCGTTTTTAAACATTAGTAAAAACTAGATGGCCGGTGTTATATCGGCAGGTTCCCCTGGCAGCAGCCACCTGTGCGGGCCGAGAGCGTGCCCTGCTGGTGCCGCTGTGGAAATGCAGCCCTGGGAATTAATCCACACGCGCCGGTAAAATCAAAGTGGTAATGTTTAAAACAACGATATTGGTGCGTCTCTAGTTCAGAGTTACTGTCTACTGCATTTAGTAGCCGAGGTAGTAGTAGTGATACGGTGATGTGGATATCAACTGCTGGATAATATCTGTTTACGCTTAGGTTCATGGAAAATCTGCAAACAGAAGTCCAGGAAATGGAATTCATAAAGTTTTCAAAGGGTTTGAGCGTCATGAGAAAAGAAGACTTTGCGGCATGGTTGCTGTACTTCACTGATGAGGAAAACAATGAAATTTACTGGCAGAATGTGAAAGACAGAATCGAGGCAGGAGAGGTTGGTACCCAAAGCTTGCTTTGCTTTGCTTCCTTGTTTGTATGTACATGTTTACATTTGAATGTGAGTATCTAATAAGGTAACTAGTTACCAAAAGAGTTATTGCAGCCCTTGAATTTTATGCAAATAGAAACTGATAATTTGCCAGCTGAGAAATGCAAGTACTGACTATGAGTAGGCAATCGCACCTAAACACTAACTCCCACCTGATTTAATGAAATAGAATTATTGGGATTTGAATGTATTATTCATTATATATCACCTGAATTCTGTGATACTCTAGAATATCAGCTTGGAAGAATTCAAGACTTTCTGCAAGTTTACAAATAACCTGGAAGACTTTTCCATTGCCATGCAGATGTTTACTGTAGCCAGTCGTCCTGTGAAACGGGGTAAGTGCTGTACACCTTTGGTTTGGGGTTTTTTTAAAGAAAAAATGTGGGTTTGTTATGGAATTAATAGTTGGTGGGCTTATGTGAAAAATGTGAGAGAGATATGAGAGGGCAGCAAGAGAATTACATATTCTTGAGAGAGAGGTGTTTGGATGGAATTCGAACCAAAAAAGGCCAAAACGCGGGGATTTACAACTTCTGACTTTCATCACTAGTTAGTCCAGCCTTCAGGAAGAGTTTCATTTCTGCGGCCTGTCAGGGTGGCTGTTCTAGTGCTTAACCAATCTCATCGTGGAGATTTTCCTCTTCTGTGTCAAACCCTTGCTGCAACTTACAATGATTGTGTCTTACCTCTGCACACCTTTGAGAAAATGGGGCACTATCTACTCTATAACCCATTTTAGGCAGTTGAAGGCTGGAGCAAGATTCCCCCCTTACACTTCTGATCTTCCCAGCTCCCTCAGCTTCTCCCATCATGTGCTTCTGTTCCCAGCTGAATTCATGGCCCTCCTCAGTCTGGTTTAACAACATTTTTCTTCTGTGGAGGGAGACAGATTTTATTTGCACAAGGCATATGAAGAGTGGAAAGAGGATGAATTAATGGTAAAATAATAGTCATCAGTGAGATGCAAGAGTTTAACTCACTTCTCTGTTAAGTATCCCATTTTTAAGTGCCAAAGGATAATGAGGCCATCAGCTGGTGTTAACTCTGGTAATTTTTCCCTGTAAAAACTCATTCCTAACCAACAGGCAGTTGTGACTCTGTTTATGCACTGAACCACACTGTGATCAAAAGCAGTCAGCTGCTGAGGTAACTCACAGATGTTCCATGTCTACATGTCTAATCCTTTCCTGAAACTCACTAACTTCTTTGTCTTGCTGTTTGCATATGTGTACTTGTGTGTATTCGCACACATATTAATATTGATCTAAAAATAAGACAGTCTTTTAGTCCTTCTTTTTTATTCTAGACTTCTTTTCCTTCTAAGTTCACAACTCATCTTTTCTCCCTGTTAAGGTGGCCCTTCTTGGTTTGAAGATTATTATGCTCCACTGTTGTAGGAGATCTTTCTCCTTTTTTCATTTTTTGTTATATTCAAAAAAAGTACATTGCTATGTCTGGATTTAAATTTAGCATCAAGAAATGAAACAGTTAACATCTTTTGAAAGACAAAATTAAGACTGCTATAATCATCCAATATGTCATGTCCTTTTCAAATTGTGGTATATCCTCTTGCAAAAGGATTTTCAATTAAATTTTATTTAAACCAACTGTAAATTCTACATTTATTACATCTAAATTCTACATTTATTACATTAGGAATTGTTGAAAGAGACAAAGATTAGAGCTAAGTCAGGAATGCTACTTCCTTTAGTAAGCTTCAGAACTAAACATATTTATAGCACTATCTATAAAAAGCACTTGTTTCTGAAAGCAGAACCATGTTAATACTATATTTATGACTTCATGGGACAACTTGCTGTAATAATCTACAATACTGCTATACTTTAATAACCTCCAGTCCCTTCTTGAAATTCACACTTCCATGATGCCTTCAAAAATGCAGCCAATTCATATGTTGGGATTGTGCTTACTATAATAAACAACAATCATTTCAGTCTTACAATCTGCTGTTTTACAGCAACCCCACATTTCCTCATCTACCTTGAGTCAAAACTCCAAATTCTGTACACCAAAAGTGGGGATAGTAGGTTATATCTGTAGGGCACATGGCGCAGTGTAGAGAGAAGGCAAGAAAGCTGAAGACAAAAGTAGATCTTCAGAGAGGTGTGACGGCTTTTTCTGCCACAAATCCCGATAAACTCTTCAACTGTCATTTAAGAGAAGGTAACCTACTTCTTTAAAAACCAGAGCTGCAGGTACATAAAGCCATGTGCTGTAAGAAGCACGTAAGACATGGTGGTCTGTGTTTCTACAGAGTTGCTGAGGAGATTTTTGGTTGAGGTGGAGCATACCATAAAATACTGTTCTCTGAGGAGAAGAGTTTTCTTGCAGAATGAATTGGCGTGAAACTGGTTTGAGATAAAATGGTAGGGTTTTTAATGAGAGCATAGCGAGGCAAACACTTATCATCCCAATGTGCAGGTAGCAGCCAAAAGTATGTAAGTTTTTAGCATGCAGCTATCTCTAGAAAAAATTATTGCTCTTACTGTCATTTGAGAAGTAGTCCATTTCAAAAATTTGTCATAAGATTAATAAAGGTAGTATTACAAAAGATGAAGCGAGCTCAAGAACGCATGAACTGAGACCTCCTAATAGTTTAGTAGTTCACACATCCCAAATTGTCCACTTAGGATACCCATGAGACATTGTAAATTGTACAGAATCCTGCTATTTATGTGCTTTCCGTTTTCTTTACAAGTTCACAGTCACCTATGATGTAATATTATGTCTTTACTAGCTGAGTTCAAGAGAGCAGTGAAGGTGGCAACGGGACAGGAACTCTCAGATAATGTTCTGGATACCATCTTCAAGATTTTTGATCTAGATGGAGACGACTGCCTCAGCCACAGCGAGTTTCTTGGAGTCCTGAGGAACCGAATGCATCGAGGTTTGAGGGTAACAGGCTGACATAATTGTTTTTAAATACCACAGACAATTACTACAACTATCTTATAAATGCTTGTAGAAACAGAAGTAGAGTTAATGAATAGAAAAAAAAATATATTTTAAACTGGATATTCCTTACTGCATATGAGTCTAGGTGGAGTGCTGCCACAAAGAACTTGTTATTACACATATGAACTACGAAAGGAGCAGCACAGCATTACATATTGTATTTACATAATCTGGGAATGGGAGTCTTTTTTGTGTAAATGCTAAACACACTTTAACTTTATTAACAGGTACCGCAGCAGCAAGGCATTCAAGGTTACTGGAAGTGTGTGAAAAGAGAAAGCATTAAAGGCGCCAAAGAGGTGTGGAAGCAAACTGGGAAAAGTCCTTTTTAAAGCAGTCCATTGTTCTTTTGTTATAAGTGTTGTTATTTAGGGGAGTTTGTCTGTCCTGTTTACTTAATAACTGAATCAAAAATACTCTTTTTTTAACCATAGTTAAAGTTTAATTAACCCAGACTCTAAAGCAATAATTTTATCATCCAGTTCCAGTGCAATCAGTTTGGTTTACAGAAATATTATAACTTTTGACCTCCATACAGAAGCACTCTTGTTCTAGGGAATAATGTCATTTACTGCTCTGTGGAGTCTGACCCTGCACTGTAGAGCACAGAAGACACAGGATTTGATAGTGGCCCCAGGCCCCCAGCAGTATCATCTCCTGTTGAAGGAGTGGACATCATCTCAGTTAGCCACTAGCACAGCAGTTCTCCTTCTCTGGCAAGGGCAGAGGTCCAAAAGGCAAAATCACTAGCACAATACATTTGAATTCAAGTTATCCTGTATCAAAAAGCAAACTTCACATGGTTCATTCTCTCATTATTGTTGATCTGCTCATGTGCAGGTTCCTGGTGCCTGATTCCACCAGATCCTGTATGGATGTCTGGTTTGTCTACCTTCATGATGATTAATCATGATGATTAAACTGGAAATACAAGACTGTTGATGCAGGCTTTAAAAGTTGCATGTTGATCGATGAATGTGCATCGACTCTCTCAGGCCTCTTCAACAAATACTATAAATGACAAGCAAAAATCCTCATTCTGTCACAAACAGTGGTAGCTACAATTTGACTCATAACTATTTTGCTCTAATTATATTGTGGGAGAAGAATGTGTAACAAATAGTTGCTTTATCTTACTAAAGGTGGTGACAGGGAATGCTGCAGTATCTTGGGAATTCAAGGTTATAATAAACAATTGTTGGGATAATAAGTCCAATGAAAAAGTAAATACAAGTGTTTATTACTCCAAATGCAAAGTTAGACCCAAGATCTTAAACAGTAAAACAAGGAACAAATCAAAACTGACATTTAGCAATTACAGATGAACATTTTATAGCTATAATGTAATGTGCACAGGTGTGCATGTTACGTGTTTTGTTTTTTCTACAATCTCAGGGGCCGATAGTCCCAGGTCCAAATCACACTTCCTGGTTGGCTACTGTGTATAGGAGATAGACTTATCTACAAAGGTTCTTCCTCTTTCCCCCTCTCAGTTGTCTGACTTGTCTTGGCTGGGATGAGAGCTTAACCCTTCGAGACAGGTTTGTGATAACAGAGATAATAGACTCAAAAAGTAGACTAGGGAAATGTCTCAAGAAAAACAACCAAGAAATCTCACCAGTCAGTGAGGAAGTATCCATTCCTTTTTTGCATATGTTGTTCTTAAAGTTGTAAATAAGCTCAACAGGAGGTGGTTTGTTGTCATTTCTTTGGGTTTTGGTGGGGTGAGTCTTGAAAAGAGGGGAAACTTCCATGATAGATAAGACATCAGAGCAGCTTTCACTCAGAGGAGGGACAGGAGAGGATGCACTGGGAAGCCATAAAGGTCCCACCTAAGGTGTACTGAGATTACAGAGAATGTGTTTGGTGTGTTGGTAGCTGTCAGGCAGCTTTGTGCTGAGGAGAAGCCCTACTGCCTGAGCCTTGGTATGGTGGTTTCCTAAGGAACAGAGCAAGAAGCCAGCAAAGCACCTCTTCCGTCCATGGGCTCAGCTTGGAGCTTTAATTTAAATAGTGTTAAAGGGAAAATGCTTGTATTCCTGTCATCTTTGGACATGGACCCAGAACAAGAGCACACCTGTGGGGGAATACTGAGACTGGCTAGACGACCAGTAACGACCAAGGATCCCTTTTCCCCCAGGAAACAATCCAAATGAAGTAAACAATTTGGAAACAATCCAAATGCTACTGCTACACGTCAGCCTCCTCCTCTCAAACTGAACTCATGCAGTGCTCTGTGGGCAGCAAGATATCAGATGGCTGGTTTACCTTGTGTATTTGGAAGTTGCTTGTTGCTGCTGGTGATGGGAGCTAAGACTAAGAGGTAGCTAATGGGAGCAAAGGTGGGGCAGGGGCACTGGCACCACGGCACCACAGCCAGCTGTGCATCACCAAATAATCAAAAGTATGACATAATTGAGAAAGAACTTCACAGCAGTGTGTGTGTGTGTGTTCACCCAAAGTGTGCTTTGTGCCAGCTCTGACTTTAATGCAAGGCTACCTTTTATTTGTTGCTGTTAATATTTTGGCAAATCGTTATTACTTTGGAATGGAGATTATTCTTTAATATTTTAGTCTGTGTGAAGTTAATAGGTTTATGATGTTTGTTATTCCTTTTGTGGTTTCCTTCGTTTACTAATTACTTGCTGCTTACAAGCTGTTTGGTTTTCTTTTGGAAAAATCAACTCATTTAGCTTGAGTGTATCTAGAAGTTTAATTCCTCTGCTCGTTTGTATCTAGGTTTGTGCAATGAGCAGTATCTGCTTTCAGCAGTTACTAAAAATGGGATTTCAAGTTTTATTTTTTAGCAAAAGCTTTGGTGTAAAGTTCAGAGGAAAAAGAAAAGAGATATGCTTGTTTTTTAAATTAATTTCATGTCTGTAGTTAAAAAAAAAAGAAATTAAAAGATTGATTAGGAATTAAAATAAAGTTATGAATCATTTTCAGAAGTTACCCAGAATGTGCATCCAGGAAGGAACTTCTTTGAAGGCCAGGGAGGACTTGTCCATCAGGTTTGAAGAAGCCTGTGTTTAATTTATAGTTTATTGTTATTTGTCTTAACTAAAATGCTTTATAAAACAGTCTTAAAGGAATTTCTCATTTTTAATATCTTTAATTGAAAGAGCTGTTTGTGTAAGTGTTTAGATAAACATTGTCTTTTAAAGAAAGCATCATAGTTTTAGTGTTCAGTGTTTTAGTTCCTTTTAGTCACTGTATGGTATTTGCAACCTGAGTGTCAGCATTACTCAACACAATTTTGTTAAAAGTTTATGCCAGCTGCCAATCTACTAAATATATCAACTATGACTCTTTTAAATTAGAAACTCATCCTCTGAACAGAAATATACAGAAAAACTAAATAAAATGGATTTTTCTAAAAAATTTACCACATGTGGAATAAAAATTAATACATTGCACATTGCAGAAGTCTCAAAAATTGATTTAATGTATTTCAAAAGGAGGCACAAGGGCGACTGCAGTCATTCACAGCATATAACTCATTTATAGAATTTTAGTTGTTGTATCCCCACAACAATACTTTATACGTTTCAGTTTGTTTGAAGATACTTGTTTAAGAACCATTTATTCTTCATTTCCAAAGGAAGCAAAGGCAAAAATGCAGTGTGATATACTAGAACTAACAGAAACTTATTGGTTGTTTCTAGAAATTAATTCTGGTGACTTCATTTGTACAAGCCTCTTTCTAAAAGCAAAATTCCCTCTGGATTCAAACCAAGTTGGCAGGTTTTAACAAAATATGCAACAATTAGGAGTACATATTCTGCACAGAAGAACTGAAAAAGAAAAGCTTTATCACGGTGTTATACATCAAAAGCAAATCTCTCAATTACTCCATCTCCTTTGGTGTATTGTCGTGTTGCAGAGTTCAGATGGGTCACCACTGATCATGCCTGGAAACACCCTGATCTAAACTCAGGTATTATCAGGATCTGTTAGCTTGTCAGTTACCCAAATGTTATCCAAAGGACGAACAATATGTTCATTCTTAATTTCAAGCTTTTGGTGGAGAATATGTAAGGTCTTTATCATTTTAGGGATTATAAATATTCTGCGTCTGGACTTCCAGGTGTCTCAGAGCTCATGGAGTTTTGGGTGTAGATACCAGACCATGTCTTGGCTCTGAAAAGTTTACAGGTTACGCTTCAGTTACCTACAAAGCAGAGACAAGACAGTGAGATAAACAAAGCTAGGCCATGGATTGTGGTTTCCTGTCCAGTGTGTATAATGAAAAAGGATCATTGTCCAATGAAGGACTAGAATGGTAACAACCCTGTTACTTAGAGGAAGTATTATAAATTTCAGGTATATTGACCATACTTTGACTAAAACATAGAAATGGATTAAAAAATGTACATCAAAATTTAAAAATACGGTTTTCTTCTCATGCAAGAGTTCGCACAGGAGGGTGCAAGCATGTCTCATGCCTTCAGTTTTAATGTTTCGTATAAAACAGTCACAACTGGGTCAGGAAACTTCTCCAATGCAGAAAAAAAATCTTAAGTCATTCTAAACAGAAAACACATGTCCAAATGATGCTGTGGTCAATATTTGTGAAATCCGAGATGACAAAACAACAGCTCCTGTAGTGGACCTGGTCACAAGGGAAGCATGAAGATAAATGTGGTGGATGTAGACACACACTATTAGGCCACCAGAAACTCCTACAGAAACTGAAGATGTCACCCAAGAAGAAGTGGAAGGCCCTTTGCAGGACAGGAAACCTGAGAGGCTTGACCATGCACAAAACTAATCAGCAAACATGTATGTGTCTCTTCACTCTCCTGCTTTTTGAAGGTTTCCTGTTGGCTTTGTTGATTAAACAATTCCTAGTTGGTTCAATAATTTAAAAAATTGCGCAACATATGCGAAGGCAGATTTTCCATTGGGCTGGTGGTATTGGCTTAGTTAACAATGTTTTCAGTTCATTAACTGGAGTACCCTAGCACAGAGTCACTGTCCTCGGGAGCCAAGCTGCTGCTCCTGCATGCCAGCATTCCCCTGGAGCCTGCTCAACAGTGCGCCCACCTGCATGCTTTTAGAACACCTCATGCCCTGAAAAGCAGAAAGCCATGTTTTTCCCCACCCGTGTACCCAATGTGAATTTAGGTTGGATATTAGGGAAAATTGCTTCACATAAAGGGTTGTCAAACTCTGAAACAGGTTGCCCAGGGAACCTGGAAGTGGTTGAGTCCCCATCCCTGGAGGTAATGAAAAGACACGTAGATGTCTTTTCAGTGGCACCTTAGGGACATGGTTTAGTGCTGGATATTGTGGTGCTGGGTTGGACTTGATGATCTTAGAGGTCTTTTCCAGCCTAAACAATTCTAGGATTCTCTCCTGCCTCGAAGCGTGACCTGCCTCTCCATGCTGATCAGATGGTGAAAGTAACGTGGAAGGCAATGGGCTGTGGGAGGATGGACATGGCACCTTGCAGAATGCTGGTTATGATGGGCATTATGTTGGCAATGTTTCAGACAAAAAGGTTTGTAACGCTGGGAGGAGGGATATTCCATGGGGGTTCTTCTCATGTGATTTCAAACACAAGCTAGCTGCTCTGCTCTGAAACATCCTCTGGAGGGCCTGGCTGTTCTCCATGACTGCAAAGGGCACACAGAAGATAAACCTCACTGGACTAAACCTGTACTTTGTGAATGCCACCTTTCTTCATTGTTTTTAATGGCCCCCAGATACAAGTACTTGCATTTGGCCACTTTTTGTTAAATTGATGTGCTATTTTATGTGAAGGGTAAAAACTCTTAGGAGCTGTTTTAAAACTTTTGTGAATTTGGACCTAAAGGAAGTAGATTCTGAAATCAGAACCATCCAGTGAGCAATTTCCTGGAGAAAGGATGTACTACAGAGGTGTTGCACCTGTATGTCTCAGGTCCACTGCTTTAGAGGAAATTTGTCAGTTTTAATATTACCCTATGGAACAACTGGTAGCTCTAAATCACCCCCAAGAAAACCAATTGGTTTAATTTAGCACTTGCCAATAAAGTGTTTTAAAATTCTCTTCTTTTTTCCGGATACAGATTTTTTTTTAATTATTTGGCATCTAACTGTGTTTTAATCTACTTTGAAACTGATACTACTGGAATGAGCAAATATTACTGAAAACATTGGGTACATCTCTTAAATAATGCACAGAAGGCAATTCCTAGAGCAACAGCAGATGAGTCACGGGGTAGATGATTACATTTGCTATTGAAAAGAAAGGATAACAAAATGTGATGTGTTGCCACTAATCTTTAGAAAAGGAGACTAATTAAATGATAGGTCCTAAACTTAAAAGAAACAAAGCTAGTGGAAGAAACAAAATGCTATTAGACCAAAGGAAAAATTTAGGAAACATGAATATCGCTGAACAAAAGTAAACTAGAAAAGCAAGGAATAAATCAGTATGGCTGAAATAAAATTTTTCAAAATGCTGTTTGACCAAAAATGCATCTTCACGATTTATAAATTTGATGTAACACAAACAAGGGCACTTAGTGACTTGCAGTTGGTGTGTACAAGATTACATGAGCTTTACTGGAATGTGAAGAGCAAATACTTACACAGTCTCAGTTGGTTTTATGTCTACATCAGAAACATGAAGCCTCCAAAAAATTGACTTGTCTCATATTACAAGAAGTAGAATTCCGAATGAGACAAATGATCATTTTGCATCAGTGTCCATCTAAGAGGCTGTTGCGATGCTTCTGCCTGGGGATTGCATGATTTTGGAATTCAAGGTGAGCTACTTTGAGAGGAAAAAAATACAAAAGCAAAACGGAGATGAAATTGTTGTAGAATATAAGGTCTAAATAGTAAAGAGAGAAATTCTGAACAACTGGAGTGTTTGCAGTGTCTTGCTCTAGGACCAATAAACATCTGGAAGACTGTGCAATAGACCCTAATTGGTGCTGAGGCTGCAAATGGAAATATTTCACTTCTCTTATGGATTTTTTTCCTGTGGCTAAAGCAGGTGGGCAGCCAGAAATGGAGGTGTGATGTGAAATTGGACAGGGGACATTTTTTTTTCGCTATTTGATAGCCATGGGATCCAATGTGATTGTGGTGAGCAGCCATTCCCATATGGCATTCTCAGTTGCTGTTCAGCTTCCCAAAATTTGCTCCAAATGTCATCATTTGTCCCTCCCCACATCTGAGGCAGCAGGGTTTGCACAAGCTGCACTGCAGCCATTTGAAGCCAGACAGGCCCTTGGTGATTTCTAGCAGAGCTTCCTTCATCCTGCTTGGCTTCTATCCAAGGAGCTGTTTTCTTCTCAAGAGGTCCTTGTAGAGATGTCCCAGGTGGCTTTCAGAAGTGGAAGATATTAGTTCCTGACAGCTGTGCCAAGGGGCTCCTCGTGCAGCATAACTCCTCAACGGAGGCGGGGGGGGGGAAGACGACGGACTATCTGGGGGTAAATAATCCCTCTCTGTCACCTCACAGCCTTGATGTTGTCCTTGTTTAATTCAGTTTCACTTCAGTTTCTGTCCATTATGGAAACACAGCCCCGGCTCGGCCCCTCCTGCAGCCGCCAGATGGCGCCAGAGCGCCGCGGGAGCGGCGGCGGAGCCGGGGCGGCGGTCTCGGCACGTGCACCTCCTGGTCCGGGAGGGAAGTGGGGATTTTGGTCGCGGTACGAGCCCTTCCAACCCCGGGATCCCACCGATAGCAATGCCAGAGTGAGGCTAAAGGTTTCAGGCGTTGGAAACGCCCGCGCTCGAGAAGCTGAGCCCCGCATGGCAGCGCTGGTGGTGGCGGTGCCCGCCGAGGTCGCGGCGTGCCCGTGGCTGTCAGGCGCTCAACGCCGTTCAGAAAACAGGCAATAAAACAAATAGCAGTAAGTTATTTATAAATAAATATCATTTTGAGGCACACGACAAGCTGTCTGAGCTCTGTACGTGCTCGGTGAGCGGGGAGAGGCAGCAGCCCTGCAGCGCCCAGACACGACAGCGCGGACTCGTCCTCGCCTTCGTGCCCCACACCGACCCGCCCGCCCGGCCAGGACCGCGGAAAAGAGCAAAAGTAAGCTTTAAGACCAGGTTTTATGGCTGGGGAGGATCCCGCCCCGAAGCGGCCGGGCCGGTGCGAACACCCCTCCTGTGAGAAGGGGGGGGGGGGGTGGCGGGAGCCCGAAGTGCATCGGGAAGTGTGGCGAGCAGGTCGAAGAGGGTGATCCTGTCCCTCTATTCGGCCCGGGTGAGGCCACGTCTGGAGTGCTGTGTCCAGTTCTGGGCTCCTCAGTACAAGACAAGTGGCTACTGGAGAGGGTCCAGCAGAGGACCACACGGATGATTAAGGGACTGGAGCATCTGTCTCTCCTGATCAGGAGCATCTCTCCTGATAGGAGAGACTACGGGAGCTGGGCCTGTTTAGTCTAGAGAAAAGACTTAGAGGGGATCTCATTAATGCAGATCAATATCTCAAAGGCAGGTGCCAAGAGATTGATGCCAGACTCTTCTTGGTGGTGCCCAGAACGAAGAGCAATGGCCATAAACTAAAACACAAAAAGTTTCACCTCAACATGAGCAAGAACTTCTTTACATTAAGAGTGGTAGAGCACTGGAACAGGCTGCTTAGGGAGGGCGTGTAGTCTCCCTCTCTGGAGACATTCAAAACCCACCGGGATCCACTCCTGTGTCACCTGCTCCAGCTGACCCTGCCTTGGCAGTGGGATTCGACTGGATGATCTCCACAGGCCCCTTCCAACCCTAACGACTGTGTGCTCCTGAGACGTTCCGGCGGCCCCGGGAAAGAGGCGGTAGCGGGCGCTGGGGCCGCCCCTCTCCCGCCCACTGCGGCCCGCCCAGGGCCCGCCCGGGGCCGGCTCCGCAGCGGCGGCCGGAGCTGCAGCCGCCGCCCGCCCGTCGCAGCGCCGGCGCTGCCGCGGTGCCCGGCAGGGAAGATGGCGCCGTCCCACGTCCTCAAGTGCTGCCAGAAGGTGCTGGCTTGGGTGCCCGTGGCCTTCATCGCCCTGGTCGTGGCCTGGTCCTACTACGCCTACGTGGTGGAGCTGTGTGTGTGTGAGTGCACCGGGAGGGTGGCGGGCGGCGGAGGGTCCTGCCCGCCCGGGCGGCAGCTCCCGGCGCCCGCCTCCTCCGCTGCGCCGTGGCGGGGTGGCTTCTTCCTGCGCCCGCCCCGGGCTCTCCTCCAGGCGGGCGGGAGGAGACCCCTGCCTCGGGCGTTCCCTCCCTCCGGGGCCGGGTTTACCTGTTGTCCTCCCGCCCTCAGGCGCCTCATGGCGGTGGGGTCCCGGCCCGGCGTCGCCTGTGGAGGAGCGAGGAACAGGTCTGGGGGAGAGAAGGAGGCCCAGGCGGGGAGTCCGGGGCGCTTCCTCTGGGGACAGGGACCTCTCGAAGGCTTCAGCCCTTCGTGTCTCCCCAGGAGGGGTTTCCCCTCTCTGTTTTTCTGTTGTTCATCCCTCTTGCTGATATATCAAATAACTCCTTATGGGTGTATAGGAGTCTTCCCTCCCTCCTCTTCCCCCCTTTAATTAAGATGCCCAGTGTCATTGAAGCATAATGAAGCTGGAAACATTCAACTTAAGCGGGCTGGGGAGAGGATTTAGGGCTTATGGGGTTTTGTCAGGCCGTGTCCAGGCTTTCTGGACGAGGGCTTGTCCTTATATAAATCTGACTTGCAGCCCGTGTCGGTCAGGGTGATATTTACCCTTTACTGCCTTCGGGAGGAAACTTCAATTCGGGAGGATGTTGGCTTTCTCTGGGCAGCGTAAATGGAGTGGAACTGCGATGTGCAGTATTCATCAGACTTGGTAAAACTTGGAAGCAGCATAGGAAAACTAAGGAACGCGTTATTGAGCATTTGGCATGTTTAAGTAAGGAAGCTGAAATGAAAAAAAAAACAAACCTCAAAATAAGAACTATTTTAAGCTACATATAGGTATGCCTAGTATCTGTACGTCCTTGTACTTGCTATTTGTGTAGACTATGTGCTTTGTTATCGCTGGCTAGAAATAAAAGATTTGCATATACTTTATATCTGGGTAAACTTATAGGGACATCAATTAGACATAATCAGTTACTTTTCTTTTTCTGCAAGGAGTGTTTTTAATAACTTTTCTGAATGCTGATGTTATTTCTCAGCCTTTTGTGTTTAGAGATGTGGACTGGAACATGAACCACAGGCAAAAAGTTACTTGGACTTTAAATAGTAGAGATATAGTTGTAAAGTAATGCTTATTGAGATACTCTGTGAAATGTTGACATGAGAGAGTTGTTAATACGTCTGTATATTCAAAAATTGTGCTTAAAACTATAAACACTTGGAACCAAGTTTAAGACAGTCTTCAATACTGGAGGTATGGGTTATTATCGCAGTAGTCCTGAAAGGGGCTCACATTTTACAGGTTTTCTGTACCCCTTACAGTCTGATCAGCATGACAAAAGGCAGATTAGGGCTATTCATTTCTTCTCTTAAGCAAAGAACAAAAACCAAGCTGTTAAGAGACTTGCCTAGGGTTGCACAGGTGGTCTCTGGCTGAACTGGGAGCAGAACCTCAAGCTCCTGAAGTCCCAGCTTTGTGTTTCGATCACAGAGTGGGTCAGGACTGAGTGCTGGTGAATGATTTCTCCTTCGCAAGCAGAGAGAAGCTGCAAAGAGCCCTTCTGAGTTCGTTAGAATGTCACTTGTGTGAAAATTATTGAAAGGGTTGGCTCCTGTTCATGCAAGAACTTTTGCATCTATAAATCTGGTGCTTTTTGCTCACGAATCAGCTTTATTAACGTCTGCACATACAGACTATTAAGAAAAGATGTCATTTAATAAGAAAATGACTTAATGGCTTCTGTTACCGTCACCGAATTTTACAGTTGGTTTGTGTTTTTGTGAGGTCTTTTTGGTGTGATGGGTTTTTTCCTTTGTGTGCTTTTCCACTGCAGTTGAGTTCAAAGTAGCATAAAGAGGATTTATAGTGGAATACAGGATTTTCTGTTTCTCTTGGCAGGTATGTTTACTTTCTCCCAGTGCTCCTTATGTTCTATTTGTTCTGAGAACTACTGCA